GCAGCAGCTGTGGGCATGCTCGGCCGCGATACCATAGTTGAGGCCCTTCTCCTTAAGTCTCTTCTCTAGGGCCTTGACAAACTCGCAGACTTCCCAGTAAAAGGGCACATTGGACATGCTCAGTCCTGCGTTAGAGGACGTTGATGTACCGCAGTATGTGACACCCTTGACCTCAACAAAGCAAGGGAGGCCCTTTTCCACGAGTCGAGCGTAGCCCTCGGCCTCTTCCTCCACGTTGAAGCCCTTGACGAGCGTCAACCGAAAGACGGTTCTGTGACGGAAGCGCTTCTCACGGAGGATATCCAAGCAGCGCTGGAATCTCTCCCAAAAGTCTCGGTGAAGAGGCCGGTCAATCTTTCGCAGAGACTCCTTGTCGGCGGCATCGATGGACACGTACAACTGAGTCACCGCCTTTAGGGCCGCCAACTGGTCAGGGTGCTGGGCGTTGCAGACGAGGAACGACGAGATACGCTCCGCGTGCAGCATGCCGAGGAACTCGTTGATGTGGGGGTAAAAGATGGGCTCGCCAACAAGCGACAGCGCGCAGTGCCTGATCTGCATGGCTTCGGCGAAGCGCTCGGCTCGGACACCGGGCATGCCACGTAGCATCTTGATCTTCTTGTAGTGGTTGGTCTTGACGCCCTCAAAGATCAAGTCCGGAGGATCGACGACCCATCGCCAGGTGGTTCCAACAGGGTTTGTACCGTGACGCCAGCAGAAGACGCACTTGTTGGAGCAGGAGAGTGAGGGGGTGGTCTCCATACACTGGTGCGAGTGGATGCCATAGAATGAGAATTTGTAGCAGGATCCTCGGCCACGAAGGGCCGACTTTGTCCATCGGCAGGTCTTGACTCCAGAGTGGGATCCCACGATAGCGTAACCTTGCTTCGTGAGAGCGGCGTATGTAGGCGAGTTCTTGGCAACCATTTCCTTCGGTCCTTGAGGTACCATCTTCTTTGTAGAGCTGTATGTGGTGAAGTCAACGGCAAGGGGGGCCTTTTGAACCATTGAACCGTCATCCTTTCGAATCATGCGTCCCAGGTCCTCGACATCATCCAGGGGTCTTCCGTTCTTCTTGGCGTCGCTGGTGTCATCATCCTCGAACAAGACCTCGCCATCATCCTCATCTTCGGCGGCATCTTCAACGTCACTCTCTTCAGCCGCTCCACTGCCTGGAAGACCCTCTCCAAGGTTTCCAGTACGGGCGACATGTTCGATGACTTCCTCAACGCCCTTGGTCCATTCTTGTAGTCGTTCCTCGTGGTCACTTTTCATGTCGCCCATGCCGACGGGGTAAGCTCTCTTCCGGCTGGTCAGCTTGGCCATCCACTTGTCAACTTCCTTTGCCTGGAAACAGAAGCCCTCTCCCTCTGTGGGCCAGTTCTCCTTGTCACCGAAGCCAAACACGGAGTAGCCTAGTAGACTAGAGAGGGGCGCAGTATCAATTCGGAAGTCGTGGTGAGTCTCTTGGAGGTGTTCGAGGAAGGTGTCGTTGATGGTATCGATGTTGTAGCTGGGAATGAGGAACGTATAAAAGTAGTCGACATCTCCATGCATCTTGGGAGGGGCAATAAAGAAGTCATCAAAGTCGATCTCGGTAAGGTCTTTGAGCTCGGGCTTGAGGAATTGACGACCAGATTGCTTGGCGATTTCCTCCTGTTTGGCTTCCAACTCTTTCAGATACGCCTGCGCAATCTTGTCTGTCTTGGTGGTGATGGACGAGAAAAAGACGAGGACCATGATAGGTCGCGTAAGATCCTTTTCTTGCTCATTCTTCTTGGACGGCTTCCTGGCAACTCCTCCCTTGATTCTTCGAGGTCCTTGGGGTTTAACATCCTTCTTTTCATCGATCGTCTCGACGGCGGGGGTCTTTGCTTCGACAACTGCCTTGGGCTTGGGAGGTTCCTTGTAAGCCTCAGTCAAGGCAACGAGTTCCGTCTTTCGGCCAATGAAGGTTAGATAGATTCGAAGAGTACCGAGGACGACGAGAGCGGCGACGAGAATGGGAGTTCGGTGGATGTGCCAGACATCGACCAAGTCTGTATTTCGAGTCAGCAACCATGTGCGCGACACGGACAAGACGGATCAAATCTTACCTTCAACAAATGAGTCGAGCCGTGAAGGCGACGAATAATTTGCCCAATCCATCCTGAAGATCTGCCTGCCGCGATCAAGCTGCGAGGCCTTCTATTTCTTCAAGTCCGAGTTGGAAAGAGGTTTGTGAAGCAATGACAATTGCCGTGAACCTTCCTTCTGGGGAAAAAGCCATTTTGCCCCGCCCCGGGAAGAATTTTGGTGGGGACCCTGGGCTATCGTCATTGCGCATCGCCAATCGAGTGGCTGCGATTTGATGGAGGAGCTGCTTACAGGAACAAGGATAGGGCTTCAAGAGTTTGATCAAACATGAGCACTATTGTCAATGATTCGATTATATAATATTCTGCAATTTTTACACATTTAATTAATTATCTCTATATGCAGTTATTCTCGAAAAAGTTGTTGTTGTCGGCTGTTAAAGTTGACAACAAGTACAATTCCCTTGTTAAAGAGGTGGGCAAACTGAAACTTATAATACACGCGCAGGCATCAAAAATCGAATAAAGAGTCACCTAGACTCTTCTGTCCGATCCTGCAGCCTGCGACTTGTCTCGAAGATCCTTGAGGCATGGCGCATGGAACATCTCGCCAGTAATGACTAGCTTCAGTGTCCTCGTCGCCACAACTATCCACAACAAGACGACCGACAGAGAGATGATCTATTAATTAGTTAGCATCAGCTTCAACTACAAGAGTCAAATGTTCATACCATTGTGGAAATCTTGAAAAAGTCACTGTCGAGGTTCTGTGCGAGCGCACTCGTACAAGTCGCCAACACACCCAGTGGGAATGTAAATCCCCACCAGCCCATGTTGAAGGGGAAGTTTTGCATCGTAACGATGCTGATGAGTGCAAAGGACAGCCAGACGAGAGCGAATCCCCACATCACGATGGCTAGGAACACGCCTAGCACATAGAGCATCTCACCCGCTCGGGCAGAAATTGTGGTGAATGCAGTGCTCTCTGGGATCAACTGCATGGCCACTTTTCCGAGTTGCTGGATGCCATAACCTCCCTGCCCAAGAGGACCGATGGGAAGGAAGACTGAGACGATTACCTCCTTGGGAGGAATTGAGTGGATGGTGAGTCGGTGGAAGTACAAAGCCAATACACAGGCCGAGAATGACTCGCCAATTCCCCAGAGAACGTACGAGGTGATGACCGTGGTCAGAGCGTGATGACGGTTGGGAAGCGCCTCGGCAACAATTCCTCCTGTGGCAGCCGCGACTACAGCTGGCACGATGGGGAGTAACAGAGCAGCAGTGATGTTTTGAAGACCGGGTCGATGGCGATGCATCACGATGAAGGGCATGCTAATGCAAGTAGCGATAGACAGCCAGACATCAACCCACCAGAAGGCCCAGGCGAGGTAGATGACCCAGTCCCCCCACCCCTTACAGCAGAATACCATCATGTTGATAATGGCTTCATCAGTGTTAGCGTTTTCCTCAACTACTATCACCTAGAGCTGACTCACTTGCGAAGCCCATGGGCATGCAACCCAAAAAGAGAGACTGGGCGGGATGAGACACCATCGCCCCCCAGATCTCAGGATATAGCGTATAACGGGCAATGGAGATACCCATAAAGACTGTAAAGAGAAGGACATTGAGCCCAAAAAAGACATACGAAATGTACTGCAGCCATATCGCATTGTAAGGGAGATTATGCAGGAGGATGGAGACGATGCCCGTCCCCATGTTGACTGCAAACCATCTTGAACGCCATTGTTAGAGGCTTACACTGGATCAGATGGTGATAAACACTTACGATGGAGTAAAGTTTCGTACAACTCTTCGCCAACCAGTATTCTCCTTACAAGGCAGAGTTGACTCGCATGGCCTCGGTGCAGAACCGTTACACGCAGCCTGCCCGTTGGAACACTGAGTCGAAGAGACGTCAGACATGATGAAGGTTGCACCGCCTGCTCACTCGCTGGTGAGAATGTGACGTGAGTCGCCGATCGGGGGCGCGTAGCGGAAGCTAAGATTGAGAGGCGTGCAAGGGTCTTTTGAGTCGGCGATTGAAAGTGAGACCGGGGTTTGGGTAATGAAAAAGAAAAGTTCTCTCAATGGAGTCTTTTCGGTGTCCTTTTTTCGCGTTCAGCCCGTCGTTTATTGCCAAAGGAAGCAGTTTTTTATAATAAGGAAAAACGGAGCAGGCGGCGAAAAACAACTTTGCCTTGGGAACGCCATGTGGACATGGTTCGCGGGTTTCCATGTGTCAATTTCGGCCCCCGACAACCGGTCTAAACCCAACATGAACCCACTGAATCCCCGGTCCCTCCGACATAGGCGGTACGGAGGCGCGTATAGCGGGCATTTCGCCATATTCTAGACTTGCAAAGAGCGGGAAAAACTGTCAACTTTTTTAACCGGCAAACAATTGCTCGTAGATTGGAAACTCTCCGTATAGCCCCAGTTACCATCGTCATCTGTGGCAACTCGTCTTCGCACCCCTGAATCCATCCTGTCCCGTCCGGCAGCAGCAGCTCGCTTGCCCGCCCTGTACCAAAAAGGTAGCGCCCACTCAGATACCACGGAATACCAGCAAGATACCACAGCCCTACCTAGCGTCGCCGCGTCCAACCACAATCGCCAGGCGAGCTCACCGGACCAAGTCTGGGTCGCCGATACAGCCCGTGTGGCCTTTGAGCAATCATGTCGGTAACCATCCGCGACCCACAGCCAAACGTCGGTGATACTATCGCCCGGATGCTGAGAGCCGGATCTGACCGATGGGAGCCAAGGAAGGAGAGGCCACACACGTCGTTGTCCCCCGCCCCGTGTTCCCAAGAAGCTGTGTTGTCCCTTTCCCTTCAGATACCGCCCTTCAAACCTAGAACGAGATCCCATCCTAGAGCATCATCATCATCATCATCAACCCTCAACAGTATAGCAACCATGGCCATCGGAATCCTTTCAACCTCGAGTGCCTTGAGCACCGGTCCTATCGACGTCCCTAATGTTGGCCCGTTCCAGCAGAACCGTTTCGAGGAACTCGTGCAGCGCCTCAAAGAGGCTCTCGGCCCGTCGTCGGGTCTGACGTCTGATGATGTTGATGTCGACTTCCTGACTCGCCTCATGCAAGACTATGATGGCTCCGATATGGAGTGGTCCCGATATGCTTTTGGCGACCACACTAGGGGTTACACCCGCAACCTTGTCGACGAGGGCAATGGCAAGAGCAACCTGGTGAGTCTTATTTGGTCAACTAGACCTAGCCCAGTAGTGACTGATGCCTTGCACAGCTTGTCCTTGTATGGTCTCCTGGAAAGGGGAGCCCTATCCACGACCACGGCAAAGCCCACTGCCTCATGAAGATCCTCAAGGGCAACCTGACCGAGACTCGCTATGCCTTTCCTGACGAGGACGAACAAGAGAAACAGATGGAGGTCATCTCCGAAAGGACATATAAGGAAAACGCCGTCGCCTATATGGCAGACGAGCTAGGACTCCACAGAGTGTCCAATAGGGGCAGCGACTTTGCTGTCTCATTGCACTGTAAACTCCCCCTCAGCCCACGACACTTGTCGTAGTTAACTGACATGCAACTCTGCAGTGTATACTCCGCCCAATGTAGCAAAGAAGGGATGCCACATTTTTGACGAGAAGACGGGGCGTAGGAGCCACGTGCCGGGTTGTCACTACTACTCGGCGTACGGGCGACTGCTCAAGGAGTAGTCAACGACAGGCGCGGCTTCAACAGCCAAGGCCTTGATGAGAAATGACCCCGTGTGATTAGCGAAGAAAGCAATGAGTTTGGTTTTCCCGGTTCCTTTCGTATTTGTTCCCGTTGGTATGGCCAGATTGGTAGATAGAGCAAGCGAGAGAGAAGAATCCGTTTGTGTATGTCGGCAGCACAATATTAGCATATAATGAACCGCTCTGATTCATAAAAAAAGACCCGCAGCTGGTGCAGAGGCGTTGAAGAGGGAGGATGAAGGAGGAAAGCTGGTCGTTTGCTGGTCGTCTTCTTGATCAGGTCCTCATCGCCATCAAGCACGCAATTCGGGCTATGCCTCATTTGGGAATGAGTGCGGTGGGCACTGTGATGCACTGTGCATGTCGCGATACCGAGCCGTCCCGAGTCCCGTTGATGACGGGGAATAGGAGACTGAAATGGGCAGAAAGAAGGTATAAAAAGGTTGCCCAAGTCTTGGAAGTGCAAGGACATTGGATTCTGAGTTTCATTTACTCAAGTATTATGCTGTTGAGGCAGGAAATTGAAGATATGTCTCTCCGAGAGCCGGGTGTCCTAGCCGTCCTGATCGCGCAATTCATTGCCCAAGCCCACACGAGTCAAGGGTGCTTGGCCTTCGGTCGGTCTGATGACAGTGCCTCCCGAGTATCGTCTAGAGAACAGTTCTTCAAGGAAACCTGTCCACTAACTCGGGTTCCTCGCCAAGGTAATGTGCAGTGTTCTAAGAGAGGCACTATTCGGAGCTGTGCCTATCCACCAGGACTTTGTAATATGCACTGACAATCGCTCGAATCGATGTATAAGGAAGGTCCTTGACTTGCTGAATGTCTCTCACTGCCTGTAGTTTCCGCTGATTGGCTCGTTGGCCCTGGCCTATGTTGTTTCTCGACTTGATGGCCACTGTTACTAGTTAACTATCCCCAGGGACGAAGACTATGCCTTCTGTTACATGCATTGGCTATTCCCCATGCCATATTTCTTAGCTTGTATCTTCAACCATACAAAGCCTATTGGAACGCATCAATGAGAGGAACATTCTGTCGTCAGTGATGCAGAGTGAATGCGCCAAAAGCTGATGGAACATTCGACCAGGCCGGGCCCTGTGTCTACATGATGCGATCCAATCACTTGACATCAGGCACTTGGCAAAGAGGTGAATCCCCAGTCTCTGAGGTCATTCACAATGCCCGGCCGAATACGTGCGTCGTGACCTGCTTAACCCCTCATTCACTTATGCGCCATCCGTTCACTGGAGCGCTTCGGCGGGAGAGCATGGGTGCGCGAAGCTAGGTCCTCCTCGGATCGGCGTCCAAAACGTTGGATGCCGATTTCTCATTGAGGGGAAAATGCGGGAGCAAAAAAACATGGTTTGCATGGAACCCCGGGTCGAACTTGTGGAGTCCCCGCACTCTCTCGGGAGATCTTTCACATGGAAGACTCGGTGAGGCCTGTTGATGGAACAAATGGGTTTGTTTGACTGGGGACCATGTTGGAGGGCTGTGCTCGGGCATAGTCGGCTGACCTGTTGGACTATATGTGATGCGGTTTAGTATCCCGGAGGCTATTGCGCCGAGATGGTCCCGATGAGGCAACTCGGCCGCTTGTTGTTTAACATAGACCACACAGCAGGGTTAACTCAACTGGCGTGCTTGGCTCTGCTCATTGCTTATATAGAACCCACCCTCGTCACTGAGGCCAGGCGGGCCAGCCAGTGCTCATTCCTCTCTGTTGATCGTTTCCATTCTCTGGCTCAGCTTGTAAGCCAAGATATTCAAGATGAGACTTCTATCACTCTTGGCTGCCGCGACCTCGGTTGCTCTCGTCGACGCTCGTGCCGTCAATGACCTGAGTGCTCGTCAAGACTCCAGCTATGTCGGATATCTCATTTCGACGTTCAGTGATCCTACCCCTCAGGTTCAATGGCATCTTTCCGATGGCGACAGTGCATCGAGCTTCACGTTCTTGAACGGCGGAAAGCCTGTCCTGACCTCGAACGTGGGCACAAAGGGAGTGAGAGACATTTTCCTCACCACCAACGCTGCTCGGTCTGAGTACTTTATCATCGCAACAGGTGAGGGATGATATCCACCCTAGATATTAGGACACGTGCTGACACCATGATATAGACCTTGATATTAATGCAGAGGGTTTTAACTGGGATTGGGCTACTCGGCACGGTAGCCGCGGTCTTGTCGTGTGGTCCTCAAAGGACTTGGTGAACTGGTCTGCGCCTTCACTGAGGATGTTGGTATAATGAAGGCCTAATCTCATGTTCATTTTGGCTGATAGAATTGCAGTGTCGAGAAGGAGACTGCCGGCATGACCTGGGCTCCCTCTGCTGTCTGGGATGATGAGAAGAAGCAATACTACGTCTTCTGGGCATCTCGTCACTACAGTTCCTCCGACACCGGTCACACCGGCGTCGCCAACCTTGATCGCATCCGCTATGCCACCACCAAGGACTTTGTCAAGTTTAGCGCACCAAAGGACTACCATGCTCTCCCCGACACTCCCCTCATCGACCAAGAGTTCCAGTACCTGGGCAAACCCGGTAACTATGTCCGATTCCTCAAGAACGAGACTGTGAACCAGGTCTACCAGGAGAGAACTGAGAACGGACTGTTTGGAACCTGGACCCGAATCCCTGGATACGTGCGACCCGAGACGCCGCTCGAGGGTCCTGCGTCGTTTGCCGATCTCCGCACCTCTGGGTTGTATCATCTTCTTCTTGATGATTACACGCAATACGTGCCGTTCCAGACTTCCAACATTCTTTCGCCCAAGTGGGAGAGGTCTAACCTTCCCAACTTCCCCAAGGGGCTGAAGCACGGCTCTGTTACGCCGCTGACCCGAAAGGAGTACGATGCGGTTGCTGCCAAGTTCCGTAGCTAAGAGACGACATTGGCTACTCAGATTAAATAGAAATCTAAGTTCTGAACCGAGGATATCTCGAAAGTCCCTATATTGAGCAGCTAGATGCGTATATAAAATTAAGCATCAAGGCTGAAGACACTTTGTATCCTTTGTGAAGTCATCCATCGCATGTATGTGAGTACACCTAAATAACCCGCTCCCATTCCACCTCAGTTGGCTCCTCCTTCCAATACTTTGCCTCCTCCAACTGAACAAATCCAAGTCTCTCAAGAACTCTACCACTCCGAGTGTTGGCACGCTGAGTTGCTGCAATAAACTTGGTGACACCTCTCTCCGCCGCAGCCCAGTCCATCACCACCTCAGCCGATCTATTGGCGATGCGCTTACCCCAGTGATTGGGGGATACACCATAACGGATCTCGACCTTGTCCTTCCATGATGGGATGCGGTCGACGTCCCTCGCTTGCCGAATACCTGCATAGCCAACCCACTCAATCTCCTCAAGCGCCAATGATTCTCGGCCAGTATCCAGTACTCGGATTTGCTCATCCTCAGCAATACCAGGCCCTGAAATATTCCTGGTGACGGCATTATCTCCCAAAATGCGCTTGTGGTCCTCGGGTTCCAATAACCCCACAGCAAAGTCGCCAACGCCTCTGTTTCTCCAATCGTTGTTCACGTCCCGAGTCGAGATTATCTCGTAAGTCTCTTCATCGGACCAGGACCTAGCCGGGAAATGTTCCCCGAAACCCATTTCACAAAAAGAGGTATTGGCGTGCAGAGAGGCGTAAAAGGCGCGGTAAGAGGGTGATGAGATGGCAACCGGCGTGGGGATCAAAATCAGGTTCGATTTTATCAAGGCCACGGGGCACTTGATGCCGTTTGTCGATTCATGTTGAGTTGCAGAGGCCATTTTTGATTAATTGAGGATATGTGTATGTTGGAATAGGGAGTAGATGGGTGTTGGAATTCAAGACAAGATTTGCAGTATCCGCATTCCATATTAAATGGCCTGCTTTGTAGTCTTATTCGCTTACCAAGCATATGAACTATCCCTGACGAGGAAAACTGTTGGTTCGAACGGTGCAACTTGCCGAATGACTCAATGCCCCAGAACTTTTAACACCTGCCGCTTTGGTATTGCTGACAGCCGTCAACTCCATAAAATATTTGCTGAACATTCAAAAGTACTTTAACCGAGAATTACTCGATGAGTGGCCAGTATTTATGTATGCATGATCGTATTAAGTCTCTAACTAAAATCACTTTTGTCTATGACCTGTTTCCGTCCTATAGTCTAATGCAACCAGTAAAAGCGCCTCATCCATCAAGCGCTGCAACCTTGAAGCTTCTTTCTCTCACGTCGAGCCTGAAACCAAGCAGAAGTGTCGCCCATGGGGATATTGAAGGGAAGCACCTCCTGACAGAGGTAGTAGGCTACAGTGTAGAATCCTAGCAATCCTGCAATAAAGCCGAAAACACCAGCAGCCTTCATGAGGGCAGTGCTAGTAGCGGCATTGCCGTCGGCGAGGGCAAAGTAAGAGGAGGCGTCAAAGATCAAGCACAGCTCGATGCTGAGGAAGATGCAAATGTACACAAGGTTGCTTTTTGATGTTAGTAAAACCAATAGTAATCGAGTTGTCTGTCGACCACTTACAGCTGAATTGAAGCAATAAGGAAGAAAAAGTTAAAGACGGCCCAGATTAGAACAAAAAATCCGAGTGCGTTGTTGTATTCGGGATTGGAAGTGCCTCCATACGCGTCGATAATGCCCCATGAAGGAATAAGAGTCGCACCGTAACCGCCGTAGAAGAGTCCTGACCAACAAGGTTAACTGGATGCTTCCCGTGGTTTGAAATGTCTGTTGGTGATGGACTTACCGAAAGCTGTAAGAACCGTGAATGTGAATGTGTCTCCTTTAATCATTGCCCACTGCGCAGCAATGAGCAGTCCAACACAGGCCACAAAGCACAAGTTTCCGACAAAGACTGTCTGAAGGGACACGCCCCGGAAACCCATCATGGACAGGGAAAGTGTGAGTAGTGTAGTAGCGAAACCGCCCATAGCTAGAGGGGCCTGTAAGGGGCACCCCTATTAGTTGTCTGCGACACTTGCTCTTGCCATGTTTCTCCATACCGGGTTTCCTATTCTCTCCCCCAGCGGCCTAGAATAAGCCTCTGCCGAAATTTGGATGCTCTCATTGTTCTTGGTAGAGGACACTGAGTGAGCCATGGTTGCGAAAGGGTCGTCGAGTTGACGGTGTCAAGACAAAACAAGAGACAGAACGACGAGAAGAACAGAGCTGCTAGTGAGATACTACAAGTTGTAGAGGGAATAGGAGAAGAATGGTCTTGAGGGAACGAAATAAATCTTGAGAAGCCGCACAGGGCCACAGTCCCGGCCGGAGGTGGTTCCCGCCGTCGGCCTGCTCTCTCGGCCGGCGGCCTATACATGAAGTTACGTAAATGGTGCTTAGTCTCCCGGTTAAGCTTCCAAAAAATGCAACGCTAGCCCAAAGAGTTTACGTTCATGGAATTCTAGGGAATTAATTGGGTTGTTACATCACAGGGTGAGATTCAATGAGCCGCACTAGTGGTCTGCCACGGATCTTGGCCATCTCGGGTGAGGATGCTTGAGCAAGTCCGTGTGCCGGCCTTTGCAAGTAAGCTTATTAGAGAAGTTGGGGGTTGTTTCTCATGATTTGCTCCCATGTTGCATGATGAATTGGTGTTTCTGGCCTCATGCTTGGCCTGAAGCATCCCAACCCATCACCAAGTGCTGTCAGTTACACCACTGGTTCAACAATGCGGAGTGAATCGGAAGTGAGATGCAATCCCCTTTACAGAACCAGCAGAACAATACCCCGAACTGGAGCCCCCGCGCTTCTAGTTCCCGTGAGACAAACACAAGGATCGGGTTTGGCAGCCGAGACCGGCCTTCGGGAGCCCAGGAGGTCAAGTGATTGGACGGATCAGATTGGAATTCACCGCCATCGATCAAAATTTGTCGATTTCCTCACATGTTCGTGATCTAGACTCTTTTTAACTGACAAAGAGAAACTTGGGGTTTGTTGCCAACCCCATACCCACTCTGGTCTAGACGCCCTCCGGGGTATGGGAATGGGGGCGCACCCTGTGGAGAAAAGCTGGTGCTCATTCTTTTTGCCCTTTTTGGTTTCGTCGGGTTTTGTTACCGAGACCGAGAGCGATCGGGCATTTACTGGCATTATAAAGGGCCAGAGTGCTCACCTCTGGCTTGAACTTTGCATTTTGGCTTCTCAAGAACCTCTGAAAGTGGCTTCGCATTGTATCTACATAGTTCACATCGTCGCCAATCACATTCGGCCCCTGGCTCGTGCAACCCAAGCTGCCAAGCTTTCGAGATCCAGCCCTCGCTTGCAAAGCCGCTCCAAGCCGTCTCGCCCAATTGCGCGAGTGACTAATAGTCATGCAAAGCCAACATCCCGTTGGACCATGAGGCCAAAAGAGACCCAGTTGGGCATCAGAGCAGCCTGACAGAGATAACATGCCTATTATTGAAGGATAACCACGGTTTAAGAGTTATGAGACCGAAGTCGAGGGTCTGGATCTCTAGTTGTTGATAGATATTTAAACTCGTGTCTTGGACCTGCTTTCGGGGGAATGAAGCACAGTTCGCCAAGTACCCAACACCAAGTGTCATATCCAAGACCTTAGTTCCCCTGGGACTACCGGAACGATAGGTAGGATGCGGTCTTATGTTGGGCGCAAGGTTCTCTCGTATAAACATGGTTTCGAGCAACTATGTTACTCCTGTGACCCGCTTCCTGCGAGAGAACCCACTGGATCACCAACAGGTTTGAGTCCCAAGACCTTGGCAACGATTGCCGAGCTGGGAATATCGACGATCAGCTTGGAAGAGAGTTTCAAGTCTTCAATGAAACTTGTTTCAAAGACTGACAGCACATCGGCCCTTCCAGATTTCCTTGGGCCAGCAATTGGGTACCTCTGACTACATGGAGTGGCCGTTGGTTGAATATGCTGCACATTCTTCAGCTTTATCGCAAATCTTGTCATTAACTGGGCCCATTCGCTTCATTTAGGCTTGATCAGTGTATTTGCGGTACGAGGACTTGTAGATTGCCATTCAATCGTATTAAATTCGTGACCTGGGATGCTACAGAGCCCCTTGATTTATTTGCCTATTAAGCCCCCCCCTTTTATTTTCCATGTGAAGAAGCACCAATGTCTTTTCTATATGTACAATTACACCCCATACCCTATTCTTCTGGCTTCTTATACAAAGTCTGGTGCACATCTAGTGCCTCCAGCTCCGTGCCGAGCCGGGGTCCGACCTTTGGGGCTGTCTGTCACCCCCTGAGATCTCAACATCCACCTGATGAGTGCGAGGCACGTTCTGTCCCGTGATGCTATCCTGCTCGACCTCGCGGGTAATATGTATCATACGGCGGGTCGACTCGTCGTCATCGTTGCTCTCCTTGTCTTGAAAGTGATTGTCGTGTTCGTCGTTCCTGCTGGCGCCACCATTCGACAGCTTCACGTGGGTTCGTCGACCAGAGGTACCACCGATGGTTACCAGATTGACATCGCCAGATCGTCCGGGGGTCTTGTCTTTTGAACCGTACGAGGGGGCGAAATCGCGGATGAGACGACGCAGCATTGGCATGGAGCCGGCGATGATACCGAGGTCGCATTCGAGGACTGTGAGCAAAACGATCTTGCCAATCTCGTCTGAAGTATTGTCAGCTTTGTTCCTGATAAAGGGGCCATGAGTCGTACAAAATTTTCCAGTAGGTGCAGTGTATGCCCAGGTATAGGTGATGCGAATGGTGGTGGCCACTGATGCAAACACACCCAGCGACAGAACGCCCATGGTTATGAGCTTGGTCCTCTTGGGCAACTGGAGGCGACGAAGTAGAAACATGGGCACTAGCGCAGTGCTGATATCGGTAAAGATGTTGGAAGCCGAGACAAAGTAAGACACTCTCAGGATGACTGTCTGTCCAGAGGTGCAGTCTCCTGGCTCGCCCCATGCCGCAGCGACGGGCTTGCACTGGAAGATGGCCACGGGCCACGAGATCTGCCAGACGATCCAGCTGAAGCCAAAGAGGCCCCATAGGATCTTTGTGTAGATCTTGTTAAGGTCCTTAGCGAGTCGGAGGAGGGTCCAGATGATGCTCGATTTGATGATTGCGCCGTCGAGGACGTAGATGAACTGCCAGATGATGGTCCAAAGACCTATCTTGTACTGCATGCCGACGGTGATGACATCGTCGCGGGACCCGATGCCGCTGTATGCGAGAACAATGACCGAGGCATTATGTGCAATGTTGAGGATCTGAAGGGTTAGTTGAATTCAAGCTTGAGTTCGTCAAGACTTACCAGGCCAGCAAGCATCAACCAATCTTCGACAGCAAAGGCGTTTAGGGAAAGACGGACGTAGAAGCGCAGGCCTGCAATGAGGATTGCGAGAATCGTAAAGATGATGGTCACCACCAACAGAACCAGAGCCAAGCCCTCAGGCTGGATGGGCTCATAGACTGTCGTGGTTAGGTCCTTGGCCATGATTACTCTTTTGATCCACGGCCAAAGTAAGCACCTAAAAAAGAAGAGCAAAAAAACCTTCAAGGGGAATCGACTCCTTCTCTATCTTCTCGAGCGGTCACCCACAGGGATTCGACCCAATGGCAAAGAGTGTAAATCATTACCTGTTTCTTCCCTCCAACGTTACTTTCCGCTCGGTGGTGGCGGCGGGACGGACGAGGCTTCGAGGACCCAAGATCTTAACGGCCAAGAGTTAAAAATGTTTGAGGCTTATTCCCGTCTGGTCTGGCGGCACCATTTTGACTGGGGAAAATATCAAGAGGGCTTGCATTGGCGGGCCCAAAGGGGATCCCGAAGAGTCCGCCAGAGGACCCTTGTTGCGCCTCTTTGGGTCACCTGGGCTCAGGTGAATACCCTCATTGGGGATCTTTTCCTCATGGGAAAACCTTGTTGCTAAGGGGGGCTGAAGAGCCTTTCAGCCGAGGTATCACGGTCGTTTCGGCGATTCACCGCGAACCCCCAAGGATATTGGTATCCCACTCTTTCTGAAGGCATCGTCCTGGTCTGTCTCGCAGTGACCACCAAACGGGTCGGGTACGACACCCACTTCGAATCGTCTAGATCCCTGCATAGCCTCGGAGAAAACTCTTCATCGCGTTGGTCATACGACTTAGGGCTGGGAACGGGCCGGGCGAGCCGCTCCGTAGGGGATGATCAATGGGACTCTTGGTATTCCCTCTTAAACTACTGAACGGAATGCCAAGACTTTCAGGCCAATGGAAAGCTACGAGAAACGCCATGATATGCTGCTGTTCATTGCGGCTGTTGGCCAAAACATGTTTTTTTTGGCACGCCCGACAATGTGGTCAGCTCATGGCTTGGGGACTCCCCTTGGCTACAGCCGCATGAACGACACACTTAGGCGAGAATAGACGAATGCAGACAACAGGCAAGAACTGCGAGATTGGGATTGCCCCTGTGAGACGAGTAAGTCGGTGGGCGATGAAACTACCGAATGCTACCCCTTGAGTGGTCTGACAAGTCGTAGGGCCCTTGCTATGCGGACCACAGCTTTGGTAACTAGGGTCCAGGTTGCATTGAAACCACATCCTGGGTACTAGGATAGTTTCTCATTGGGAGAGAAACCCTGTGGTCTCGTGCCTGCATTTACCACTCAATGGTTTGACAGCTACCCAGCAGGCGAGCCCGCCTAGGATCCCCCCATAGGCTCGTCAGCGTCTGGATATCCACACGTTCGTCTTACGCATTGTGGAGGCTACATGGGATCGAGTCATGTTAGAAAGTCGTCACAGTGTGTGAGATTCCCCAACCCCCTTTTGCCGGTGGAGTTTTGGCCGGTTGCATCAGCTACGACGCATTGTTTCGTGGTCAAGCATGGCTCTCGAGTTTTATTATCTACTCCTAGCTCCAAAACCGGGATACAAGGTGATCATGCCCCAAGCGAGATACGTGTTTAAATAGACAAGAATTTGGTTTAGAAGCTGCTTCGCTAATTCTCGGTCACTGTCACCTTCATCATCCCATCCATCAAACAAAACACCACCAGAAAAAAGTACGCACAGTATGTCTACAACAGAGAACGAGCAGCTCCCCGCCCTTCCTTCGGACCTCACGGCCGAATGGTTCGGAGCCAAGCTCGGCCACGAGGTCAAATCTGTGGAGAACACGCGCAACATCTGGGGTACTGCATCCAAGCTGTTCTACACCATCACGTACGAGCATGAGAGCAGTGAGGAGAGGCCGAAGCACGTCTGCGTCAAGGGCGTCTTCGACCCCAAGATGATTGAGGCTCAGCCTTGGACCGTCAGCCTGGCCCAGCGCGAGGCCGACTTCTTCACAAAGGTTGCGCCTTCGGTTCACCACATGCTGTTCCCCAAGGGCTGGTGGAGCGGCACGAGCGAGAAGCAGGGCATCGCCATCATGAAAGACCTGGCGAGCGAGGGCTGCACATTTCCCCCAGAGGTCGCAGCGTACTCGGTCGAGCAGGTCAAGAATGGTGTTGAGCAGCTGGCTGGTCTTCACGCGCAGTACTGGGGTCAGAGCCAGGACGACCACCCCTGTAAGAACCCCCTTTCTTCTACTCTGAGTAAATGTCTAACGTGGAGATAGGGATCTGGAACAACTATGACCCAGCCATGAAGTTCATGTGTGTGCCCTGGGATGAGGTCGTCCGCAGACCTGGTCGTCCTCAGCTGCCCGAGTACCTCATGGACGGAACACGGTGCAACGAGGCTCTTGACCGATACTACGCTGAGCGTAACCCCCGTTTCAGGACCCTTCTCCACGGAGACACGCACATTGGAAACATCTACTTCACGGTTGATGGTAAAATTGGCTTCCTGGACTGGTCTGCCTTCCACTTTGGCTCTTGCTTCCACGACGTCGTCTACCACATGACGGCTGTGCTGAGCGTCGAGGACCGACGAGCTCACGAGATGGAGATTCTTGATCACTACCTCGAGACGCTGCACCGTCTTGGCGGACCCAAGTTTGACCGTCACAACGACCCCGAGGTCATGATCGAGTATCGTCGCTCCTTCATGACAAATGTCATCTGGCTTATCTGCCCAGATGGCCTGCAGAGCAAGGAGCGTATTGAGACTCTTTGCGAGAGGACTGTTGCCACTTATAATGACCACAAGGTTATTGATGTTATTCTTAACCAGCCCAAGCCGGAGCCCAAGGTAGAGTCTTGAGTGAGACATACAGTGTCTCGTGAGGTTCTATTGATGTATGGGAACGAAGATATGTAAATAGCACTCGTATCAAAGCATGCCTAGTCATTTATGATTTTCACTCAATTGTCTCTATGGAACCATCTGTGATTCATTGTCCAGTATCGATAGTGAGTGCCTTCAACCTAGGTCGTACTCAACGAGACAGGCTAGCTCAGTCAGGAAACTATTGTCGCCCCCTTCTACTAGGAGTTTCAAATTCTGCAAAGGGAAAGCAGAGCCACACGGGGACATACATAGACGGGCCGACATGGTGCTGACGTTATGCTGAGTATCCTGGCTGCCAAGGGCCTGGACATGGGTGAAGACCACGTACGAAAGACTATTTACTGCCTGTACTAGTATGCTGACAAGGAATAATTCCTTCTATGGAACCCTTTTATCTTGTGTACGAAGTTTAAACGGTAGGCCTGACTTGCTGCATGGTCAGACACTGGAATTGTTTCAAGAGTCGGTTCGTCTGAATTTCACGCCAGTATCCCCAGACATTGTAACAATCAAGACATCAGATCAATGCCGGTGGATGATGGAGATGCTCTCACAATGGTTCGATATTCCCCTTGCTAGGTACGCTTGTTCTCTATGCTTGACCACCGCTTGACTATAGTCAATTTTGACTATCAAGCCCCAGGCTCATGTCACTCATCATCCCGACTTACCTTGGAACCTTGGTCAAGTTTCGTCCGACGGGCAGCGTCATAGATTTGTTGCATCTTCTGGGTATACTTGACGACTTCTTCTTCTTGGTCACTTGCGATCCTTATCATGGCGTTAATGAGATTTGAAAGCATCATATTGACTCACCGGCATATTCGCTGATCAAAATGAGAAATTCACTCGTCTTCAGCGCGGATGCATCCACTACGGATGTGCAAACGAGATCTGGAAGAGTTAAATATGCAACAGGATTTCCGTACTGGAAAGACTCACAGCCCAGGACGCTTTCGTATTTATCACTGAAGCCCTTGCCAGCAAAGTTCCAGCGCCATAGCTAGTGTTTGTGAGCACTCATGCTCACTTGATGCGGCAAAAAATACGACATACCATGACATCGAGGCGTACAACGGTGTTGTGCATCACGTAAATGAAATACTTCTCCTCTTTGTGTTGGCCGGCATCGGTCCTTTCCGTAAAAGGCCCTAAAGCAGAGGTGACGACCTTCTATCAAGCGAGTAAGTGATTTGCTCGTATTTCAAAGAGACAAGCAGAAGAGCGAACCTTGAAGCCCTCCATGACGGCGTCTTCAGTGTTGGATCCGCCAGTCCCGATTTTGAAGAAGTCATCGATGGCATCGCTGATGCTTTTGTTGGGCTTGCCCTTTAATTGGTGTTTTTCTGAAAAGAACTCCAGGTCGATCACATACCGCATCCTTGACTATCAAGTTGTTGTATCTCCTCTTCCGAAGGGCTCGGATGCCAGGTACATCTGTCTTTTGAGTCGTATCCGGATTCAGGAACTTGCTGTGAGAGTTAAGCTATTTGCTTTCGTGTTTCTGGGGCGGACCTTGGTACTTACTCATCGAGCTTTGCTTCAAATTCGTTCAGACTCGAATTGCACAACTGCATGAGCACGTCGAGGTCTTGCTCCACCTTTTCCCTTGCCTTTTTGTCAGCCAATTTGAAGGATGAGCGAACTGTTGTAATGGCCTGGCCCATCTTGATGGTTGGTGATTTCAATAGTTTAGACTGGATAATAGTGGCACAGAGAGTTGATGTTTGTGAAAGCAGCCGAAAAACTTGCTTCTTACTATAACAGCGCAACCTGTCGCTCTTAACTCTAAACGGTGGCAACTCCCACGGTTGATGCAAAAGAGTCCAGCCTATCATATCCAGACAATCCCCAGAGCAGAGTGGTCATATGGGGGGAAGAAGCGGCACTATTACGGACCGTCTGTTTTCAGCTGACCATCGCGCGGCCTGATCTACAAGAGCTGGAGTCTAGAAGCCTATATATTGAAGACGTGCAGATTGACTTACCTCATATAGAAGACGGCCGCGCGGCGAACTCGAGGAGGCTTAGCGCGACTGGACTATTGATCTGGGGCAGAGTTTGGCTGGGCCGTTGTCTCACTTCAGCCTAGCGCCAGGTTGCTCAAATGAGTGTATGCATTTGGTTAAAAGTAGCCGAATAAAGGTGGTACGGGTGGTGCTATGTCTGGAACGGGACTCACGAGGCTGATTCTATGAGCCAAAACTGGCCGACTTGGCACTCTGGATCATTTCGCCTTGCTTCATGAACAATCACCGAGTATTAAAGCCATCTGCAAACTCTCAAACTTACCATCTTTAAAAACCTTGAAACGTTGGGTAATCACCAATCAACTATGGCCAATCCCTAGGATAACTTCCAACCTATCGATGGCCAGGGCTAGCAAACATTGGTACGCAAAAGGTTGATTACTTCGTCTCATCTTAGGCTGCACTGACTTAATACTTGTCAGTTTTTACTCAACCAAGCTAGAGGCCTATCCTTCCTTTGGACTCAATCAACCAGGAAATCAGCAGCTGGCTTGGTAGAAAGCCTAGAAACGTGTTCAGCAGCAACCCTTATAGTCATGGCTATACACGCCGCTTTCATCTCAGTGGGCGTATCAAGCTCAAAATAGCGCATTTTCTCCATGACTGGAAAACAACAATATAACGCCACAGACAAACTAGGTTCAGCCTCAACAGAGGTCAAGCCTCCGCCTCGCTCGGTCACAGCCTCAACTGATATGTCTTGGTCTGGCACTAATTGGTTGACTTTCAGCCATTTGCTCAGTGGCTCACTAGTGAATTGAGGCCTCCGTGGACTTCTAACATGAGCTCAACTTCTCAAGTATGGGTATAAATGCCTGGTTGAAAATACCTGCTTTGGCCTTTCGCTCAAGTCCTTCATCCCCACTCCAATATATCATCCTTCACTCACATTTAAAGCAATATGGGCAAGAAGGAGCTTCTGGCATACATACGAGCACCAAACCTAGATTATGAGCCAGACAAGGCAATCCGTCTCGGCCATATCTGGCGAAACCCCCGAGACCCTGGCTCCTTCTGCGGACAACCTCTGGCTATCCCTCGTGGGATGGAAACCAACCATACGTATAAGGCGCCGTGGTTCATTGGCAAAGGCCGCTCGACGCGCGGGTCCGTCGGTGTCTGGGCAAAGTTCCTTCAAGTTGTGGGAGTGACTGCACAGGCCAATTTCAACTGGAATAATGCCGACGACATGGCTCACACCTTTCAGAGGCTAGACACTTATTCCATCGAACCGACACCAGAATACCTCAAGGCGAGCATCGAGGCCGTGGCGGAAGATGCTATCAAGAAGGGGGAACGCCTCTACATGATCACGGGAGTCAAGGTTGCTCGTGGTGCTGTTGGAACCATATTCTCTTCGAGAACTGTCGGCGCCAGGGGTCGGGTCGGCGCCAGCGGTGCTTCCCAGGGAGTTGATGCAGAAGGGGGACCCTACTTTGACGCCTCACGAAACGAATACAGCGGCGTGAGCTACGGAGAGTCGTCTGACTTTGTGTTTGCGTACCGCGTCAGGGAGATTCTCTACCGAAAGGGAGACTACAAGACGAGGGTTGGAGATCATACGGATGCCATGTATGCGGGAGCTGGGGTTCCTCTGGCAGTCGACGTGGGTGCAAGAGCTGGAGATTTTGCGATCTGTGTCGGTAATGCTGAGCTGGAGAGTGTTGATGTTGGATTTGATGATGAGTTTTCTGACGGGGCTATGTTGTTTATTGATGATGATGGAGAAGAGTGTCTTTTCCTTGCGTAGTAGTTTTTCTTTTTTTTCTTTTCTTTCTTGATGTTACGCCATAGTCCCCCCGTCTTGTATCTTTAAAGTGAGCTTGGTGATGCCTCCATGTCATGCTTGATGAAGATTTATATTCGCTTGTTTATTCTAGTAGAGAGCAAAGCTGGGTATGATAGACACATATACCGTGAATGGTCAGAGCTATTGCCGCTCTCTTGTACACTGAAGCTTCTCGTGTTGGTAGATGACCTGAGGAAAAAGGGAGCCTACGGGGAAACAAAACAAAAGAGCGAACATGACACCAGTTCAGAGTATATACGGGTATCTAGAGAAACCTTGGTTATCAAATGATGCTTAGACCCTGCGGGTTAATGCAAGGCAAATCCCCGACACCGGACGCGTGGCGGACCTGACTACCTAGGTACACCGATTCCCATACAACCCTAATGGAGAAATCTACAGAGAAATCTCGATTTAGTATTTATCCCGAGCTACTGCGGATTTCCGCTGTCCATCTCCGCACTCAGAACATGACGAACCTGTGTCGTGACGAGTTGAGTCCGACACTGCGGAATTCCGCAAAGACGCCAAACCAACATGGGAATGTGCACAGCAGACCGTGTGATTGATGTTTCCACTGGAGGATATTGTAATCAATGCCTTGGTAGAGAATTCCAGCTATAAAAGGTCCTGGTTCTGGCGTTGAGAGCCTGTACCAGTTCCAAATCACCTTCACAGCATTTGCACATTGCTTGGTCTCCCTCTTCTATATCTTCCCTCGCCCAGCATGTCCAACAACCAGGAACCCGTCGGCTACCGTGCCTTCGACGTCACCAAAACCTCACACAAGAAATCATATCCTGCCATCTCTCCCTCCAAGCCATCCCTGTCCCAAGCCGGCAAGACTGTTCTCATCACCGGCGGTAGCGGCGGCATCGGCTTCGCGATTGCTCGTGCATTCGGCGAAGCTGGTGCAGAGAAGGTCATAATCGTGGGTAGAGAGGAGGCCAAGGTTGGCTCGGCGGCAGAGAAGCTCAAGGAGCAGAACCAAGGTTCGGCTACCGTCTTCGAGGGCAGGGCCTGCCAGCTTGCCGACTCTGAGAGCATCGATAAGCTCTGGGACAGTCTCGAGGCAGAGGGAATAAAGATCGATGTAATTGTGTTGAACGCCGCAATGACTGGTCAGTTCGGTCCCATCGAGAGACTTGGTTGGAAGAAAGTGTGGAAGGAATTCGAGGTCAACGTTCGATCGTACCATCAATTCTGTGAGCGACTGCACCAGAATGCCAAGAATCAGGGAGGCAAGGTAAGTTCTTTGAAGACCAGGGTCCATCTCATCAAGTTTGGTGCTTCGACTAACGCAAATACGTTCAGAGGTTCATCGTCAACGTTTCAACCTCGGCCATCCACGATTTTCCGGCGGCGTCATACGCACCAAGCTACTCCCTTACCAAGAACTCGGCTACTCTCCTGCTTCAGCAGATCGCTAGAGAATGGAAGGCGTCAGATATTCAGATCGTGAGCTTCCATCCTGGCGCACTCCTCACCCCAGGGGCCATGTCCTTGGGACTCGACGAGGCCTCCCTACCATGGGATGACAGTAAGTGAATGTCCAGCAAACCAGGATTCAGCAGAAACCTAACCTTCCTAATTAAAGTCAGTCTTCCTGCGTCTGTTGCAGTGTGGGCTGCTTCCGACGAGGCCGCCTTCTTGCATGGCCGCTTCATCTGGGCCCGCTGGGATGTCGAGGAACTCGCTTCGGGCGAGATTAGAGAACGGCTCGAAAGTGATGAGAAGTTTCTGAGGATTGGGGTCCATGGCCTTGAAGAACCCAAGGAAATAGTGTAATTAGTCGTCTGTAGCCTTGTACTTGATGCAGATGTCATCTAGTAAGCCGGACGTGATCTGTCTTGCCTCAACCCCCATCTCTTGAGTGTTGCCTTGTCCCCCCCAAACCACTCCTCCAAGGCGTCCAAACCGCGATAGGTGGCGCAAATAACCCTGCCCAGCTCGTCAAAGTCTTCAGGGTCAGCACCTTGTGTATCATGACCAAAGGTGGACATGGTGAGCTCAAGCCGGCGGGACGTCTTCCATATCTCCCGCCATTCGGCCGCTGACCTGGCCTCCCAGAGAGCAGCCTGGGCCGTGAAACCAAGCTGGGATACTCTCCCCTCACAATCCCAGCCAAGCTTCAAAAAGGTGTATACGCCCGAGATGGTTTCGGCAAACACTGCCGTCCGTCTCACGCTTTCCTGTCGTATCCAGTCTGTCCATTCGTTTACTGGCCCAAATGGGCTGATTGTTTGCCTCAACTTATCCGCCCATGCCGATAACCGAGCTCCGTCACGCTCTGCCTGAGCTTGTAGGGTTATGTCGCTGGTTGAGAAGAGCCGTATGCATTGGTAGATGAGTAGTGCTTGCACGGGAGGGAGTAGATCAAGCTCTATCGGGGGATTGCAGGCCAAGGCAGCTTCGACTGCATCCACCAGCAGTGATGCTCGCCGCGCAATCTCGGTTTTTACGATTGCCACATTGGCGGGGTTACGCATGGCGTGCAAAGCACTCGCGGCGAGAGCATCCTGGAGTACAGTAGAAGCGCCGACTTGAGTGTGGTGAATAAAGGTTGTGTGACCGGCCTCTGCTAGTGCGCAGGCTTGAGCGGCGAGACGTCTTCCTGCATACTCGGAGCGAGCTTGGAACCTGCTGCCTGTTGTGATGGTTCCTTCGTTAGGGTCATCGAGGATTGATGTTTGCTGTGAAGTACTGTTTGTTGCAGACATGATTCCCAGGTCTAACGGTGAAAGGATTCCCCCATGTCCGATAATATCGCTGAGAAGAGACATCATGGCAGGTGATAACGGCGGAGGAATAGAAGGCGTAGAGTTGGTAGAGAAAAGCATGTAGTTGGTAGCGTCAGGAGTTTCGATCCAAGATGTATCTTGGTATGGCAGACTGGACTCTAAGAAGGCATTGTCAACCGGAACCAATGACAGTGAATTATCACCGCCTTCATTGTTGGATGAACGACTAGGTTCGGGGGCTTCCCAAGGATACACGCAATTAACTCGTCGGGAAATGCATCGTCCACAGCATGGCAGGCCAAGGTCACAACGTCGCTTCGATGCCACACACGCGTTGCATGATTTCCGCCTCGTCGAGAGCTTGGATCGCATATTGAAGAAAGAGAATGAAGTTGTAAATGGGAGCAAGATTAGCGCGACGGAAAGGCACATGTCACGATGATTACGCGATTGGGCCTGGACGCACGGAATGGAATAATGCTGCACCGACCCCAGCTATCTCGTTCGGATTCAGGTTTAAGACGGGATAACTCACTTTCTTCAAAAACCCCAACTCATGCCTCTACCTTCTACCCTTTCATAGAAGTCTTCGACTCTGATTCCCATAGAAGCGAACTAACAGCCACCTACTTCGACTCGAGCGGATGAACCTGAAAGTTGAAAGAGACCGACCCGGTCACGACATTCATACTGTTCCTCCTCTTCAGATAATGGAAAGCATCGAGTCTGCTCCTTTCCTCGGGAGTCCCAATCTTCAACTGCTCAAGAACCTCGGGTACGACGGCATATAGAATCTCGAGATTGCCATCCTCAATCTTGACGGAAATTCCAACTGCGCCCTTGGCACCGAGACGTCGAGTATCTTCAGACTCACGGATGCCCACTCCATAGCACGCATCAGCGCCGACTTTGCCAAACAATTTCCCCCGGTAGCTACTCATGAGCGCAGTGCAGAAACGTCCCGTTCCTCCAACAAGTTCAGGAGATCGTGTCATGGCGTTGAAAACACGTGCGAGGTTTCGAGTTCTCTGCGTCGTCGATAAAGCATCTTTCTCAACCTTGTCGGCAGCTTCTGCAAAGAGGGCATACATGCGTGCCATGTAGAAAAGCGGAACGGCTGGCGCAGGAAGATTACATCCGTCAATGCCCCATTCGACATTCTCAGGGTCAAGAGAAAGTTCCTCGACAATCTTCTTGACCTGGAGCTGCATGGGATGGTCTGGCAGATGATAATCCAAGATATCAGCTCCGAGGCCCTGGGCACCAGCCATCATGGCAACGTGCTTGCCGCTGCAGTTGTTGTAAATACCCGTAGGCTTAAAATCGGCCTTGATCCAAGCTCGGTTCAGGTCATCAGGGATTGCAGGATGGCCACCACATCGAAGATACTCCTCTCCGGCCTTGATCTTGTGAAGCATGGCTCTAGCGCGAGTGACATGGAAGTCCTCGCTGTTGTGGGATGCGCACATAAGAGCGAGATCAGCGTCGTCGAAGCCAGACTTTTCAAAGCCTCCAGTTTCGATGACGGCCACTGCTTGGGCAGGCTTCGCTGCGGATCGCACATGGGTAATTCGGGAAGGGTTGCCGACAGCGAAGAGGATGTTTCCTTCAACATCAGTTACAGCGATGTGGACGCCATGAGTGTTTTCGATGATGCCACCTCTGTCGGTGACGACGCAATCTCGGTCAATCTGTGTGGTCCGAGTCATGCCGGGGTGTTGAGAGCAGAAATTCGTGATAGAGTTGTTGAGTATATCACGGGATGAAGTGATGAGATCTTGTCCAGCTCAGACGCAACATGTTGACGCCAAGTAGTGCTGTACTGCTTCTTGTGAATTTGTTTACAGACGACCAAGTCGAATATTTTATCTTATTTCGAACGCGAGCCACTTTGCACAGGTTACATCAAGTCCCGCCGTGAAAGGAAGGTAAAAACACACCGCCTCTCAACTACCCCTCTCGGTGAATGACTCCAACTTTGAAGGATCGTTGGACAACTGGGCGCTGGCAACTCCAGATCAACCAACACGCTGCGTTTGACAACTAGTTACTGCTTACAGTGGGTAACGTTAACTCAATACCAATCGCAACAGTTTTTCCAACCGTAAACTTCCTTCGAAATCTCTTTGGTGCGTGTGGGACAGTTAATTCGATTGGCTCAATGCAACAATGGCATCATATCACAAATATGACTCAGGAGTATCGATGAGTCAAGTGACTTGCCTCTGCTGATCTAGATTCTCGAAAAGTTTCCTAAAATGGTAATGGATTTATGCTTTCCTTGCAAGATAGATCTACTGCATAATCCTCTTCGGCCACTCGCTTGATCAAGAGGGGAACCATGTTCAATCGTCTCAACTGTGATGTCTTTTTTTTTTTAATTCTTGGCTCACTTCACCGCCTTTCCAATTATGAGTTAAGATCATTCGAAACCAGCTTTGTAGTCGGCTCGGAAAGAGATGCAGACAGGTCAGGTCGTTTACCACTCTGAAGGCATAGCTCACAGTACTTGAATCACTGACTTCACGGAGCCGTATCACATGATAAAGCCTGGGCTTAGACACCTCCCCACTGATTTATCTCACTGGAACTTGTTTATTCACCCCTCCACGCTTATTAAGACGTAGAATTTACACCGTTCGATAGCGTCAACTTGTCGAACCCCCTTACGAGAACCTCTTTTCCGCCAGCCAGGAAATTTCAAACTGAATATCAGGCTGGGCCTCCCTATACAGTACATTCTTCCCAAACGCCATCTTAAAGTTGTAGGCCGCCTCTTCGTCCGTAATGATCTTCTAGGGGATGCCGTTGGCCTCCACGGCCTCGACATAGAGTTGAATCTCGCATGACCGCTCTAGCAGTTCAAACATGAAACCCACCTCATCAACCGTCTCGCCGCATGTGAGCAAGCCATTTTTCATTGGAATTGCGGCCTTATTACTTGAGCCTAAGGCTTGTACCTCAGAGATCATGTCCAGATAAGCAAGTACGCCCATAAGAAACAATCGAAATCACACCATGATGATCTTGGATCGCACTGCCCCGTTCCCAAACAGACCCTCTGAGCGAATAAACCCCTGTTCATCATCAACGACAATGGCAACTCCCACTGTTCTCCAGAATTCCAGTGATATCCCTGTTCCTGTCATGTCTTCTGGCACAAGCTCAAGGATGAGGCCTGTTGGGCGCTTACCAATGCCCATTTGCAGATAGAGCAGCCTGACGTTCTCTCCGGGTTCATCTATATCCAACCTCCCGTGGGCAAAAACATGCTCGTCTTCTCCTCTTCCATAACTAGCTCCAGCTACAAGTTTAAACGGGAAAAACTTTTCGACATCATTAACAGTCTTGGCTTTGGCAACTGTTGAGATAGGCCGCACCCAGGCCGTGACCTCGAGGCTCTGGTACGCTTCGCTTCCCCTTTGGCAGGATTCGAGGATTGAACGAGACGTGTCCGTCCAGCGCACTCCATGACCAGCTCGGTGCACGAGAGGCATCGTGCCTCTTGGCTTCTCCGAAAGGAAAGAAGAGTTCCTTTCATCTTGTTCCTCCACATTCCTGCGAATCCGATGTATTCCCACTTAGTGGTACTCATCATCTCCTCTGCCACGCTCTGGATCGCGATGAGCTTGTCCTTGCCTTTGGTTAGGTTTCGTGGACAATACTGCGTTAGACACCACTGCCAAAACCCATAAAGTGTATCCAAAGATGTCGAGGGATCTCGGGGCCAGAGTATTCTGGTCATCAGGGCGTAGTGGGCAACTGGTTCGTTCTCTTCCGACTTGATGCAGGAGCGGCATTCAAAGAAGATCTTGTTGCGGCAAAAGTGTATCAGCCTCGTTGAGAGGCTTCTCTCCTGCATTGTCCAGGCCCTGGTGTTCCACTTGGATTCGTTGATTGCGTATGTCGGGTACGAATCTTGATAGTTTTCGCGACAGGAGATGACCATGTACTTGTCTCGGCCATACCCAGATGGTAGACTTTCTTGGTCATGCTCAAGAGAGTAGTGAACTTTTGCTGCCAGAGTCTTTTTGAAGTCGCGTTCAAGGAATCCATCATGCGTTGACGTGGCTGAAGTTGCGACGATTGTTACCACGGCGTGGCGATACACGAGGTGCATCTTGATAGCCTCCCGCTTCCAATCATCGGCCGAGTCTTGGATGATGCAAAGTGAGTCGATCCAAAGATATGGGATCCCGAGTCGGATGCATACCCGTGCCACATCAGCAAAGTTGCTAGGTAGGTCGGTCGGGCACCAGTGATTTGCATGCTTTGCAAGGCCACTCTGCTGGTGACTCAAGAACATCTTGAAGTCTTTGAGGATCCATTGTCGCCAAGGCCTTTGCTTCTTCTTCTGTTGAACTTGACTATGCTGCCTTGTTGAGTGAATTCATGGTCGTGAGGGGTCATTAACCTCAGGCCAAGTTCAGCCAATGGTTGAAACGTGCACGAATAGCAATGCGGCCAAGGTTTTGTTAATTTCGACTGAGGATAAGTTACCAAGTAGTCATCTTGTGGTCTTATCAATGTATCTCAGCTGAAAAACTCTGAGTCTGGACAAGTCGCCATCAGCCCGCCACAGCATTCGTAGCCTTTTCCTTATTTCTCGCACGGAGCGGCCCGTAGTTTAGCTTCGGGTAGGTAGCTCATACGTAGTCTAGTTCATGGAAGCTAAACTCAGCTCGTCTCAGGCAGTGGTATGTGACTGTGAGTCTACCTCCATTTAACCTTGTCAAAACCAATAATCACAACATGGTGAGCCTGGGGCTGGCTGAAATTCGTAACCGTCACCTCAATGTTTCAGTGCAACTGAGGGGTTCAACTCGCGTGTAGATCACCGATTGGGCACAGCGTTTTGTGGCGTGGCCAGAAGTTGTTCTTCGCCTCGGTCTAGATCGAACTATTGAGTAAACCCTGGTCACTTGGCTATGCATTCTCACCATGGCCTCCGCGCCGAGATTTTCATAGACCCTGGATACGAACAAACACAGTATTGAGAATGTGACAGTTGAGACATGGCCCTTTATCAGACTAGTATCACTTATGACTATAAATAAGTGTTGTTTTCCCAGGCCTCTTCCACTCCAAGGTAAGCACCTACAATCTCAACCGTTTCTACTCTGACCACACACATTTTCCCTCTCATATTGTTCCCAGCCATGACACAAGCACAGGACCAACAGAGCTTGCTTCACCTTGGCATGGAACAAGTTGGCTGGTTCAAGTCCAAGAAGATCCCTGTGCACACTCCCGGAGAAGTCGAGTATGAGAGAGCCGTCGCAAACAGCAACCTCTTGTACCGCTTCGCGAGACCGGCCTGCGTTCTCCAACCCGAACACAACTCTCACATCCGTATCATCATCGCCCGTGCCAAGGAGAAGAAGCTGCCTGTTTGCATCAAGAACGGCGGCCACTCTTATGCGGGCTTTTCCACCATCAATGACGGTCTCTTAATTGATCTGGTCAACATGAAGAGAGTTGACCTTGATATGGAGAAAAAGACCGTCACGATGCAAGCCGGTGCTCAATGGGGTCATGCATACAAGGAGCTCATCAACGATCATCACGATGGGTGGGTCATCAATGGCGGGCGATGTCCTACTGTCGGAGTGAGCGGCTTCACCCTCGGCGGCGGCCTTGGCCCTTTTACTCGAAGCTTCGGAATGGGTAGCGACACCTTGCTCGAGGCCACCATAATCACAGCTGCTGGGGAGACTGTCACTGTCAAGAATACTGGCAACACAAAGAAGGAGGAGCAAGATCTCTTCTGGGCACTCTGCGGTGCTGGTGGTGGCAACTTTGGTGTTGTCGTCGAACTCAAGATGAAGCTTCAAGAGCTGCACGGGAAGGATGTTGTAGCCGGGAGGTTTACGTGGTCACCTAAACACTGCGAAAAAGCCCAAACTGACTTTATGGACACAATGGTCAAGTTCTACACCACCAACTGGCCCAACGAGATGACCATCGACAGTTCATGGCTATGCGATCTCAAGGATGGGAGAGAAGACCCTGCAGTTCGGTTCCTGGTTTACTACAACGGCACCGAAGAGGAGTTTGATAAGCTGATTGATGAGCATCTCGGAGGTGTCAAGGAGAACGGGGAAGAGAAGAAATTGCCAAAGCAGCTGAAGAGACGTACACTGCAAGAAAAGTCGACGAGGTTCCTTCATGAGACGCTTGTCTCTCAGTGGTCAGAGGAGACCATCAGGGCGTTCCCCTCGAACCCAAGCTACAAGATCTACACATCGTTTGTCTTTGGTAACAAGAAAGACGAGATCCAAAAGATTACCGAAATCATCAAGACAGAGATGGAGGCATTCAGAAAGGAATTCAAGGGCGAGCAGGGTCTTTTGCAAGTCACATGGATCCATTGCGGAGGCAAGGCGAGCGAGAAGCTGCCCCACGCATCAGCTTATCCCTGGCGTGGAGGCGTCTACCACGCATACATCATGATTGACTGGCAGGAAAAGTTCCTCGAGCTGGACATGAGGGGTTTCTTGGAAAAGATGAATGAGAAGCTGAGGCCCTTCTCTTACTCGAAACGAGCCGCCTTTATCAACTTTCCTGATCCAGCTCTCAAGAAGGACGCCCACGAGGAGGCATACTATGGACTCAACAAGGACAGACTGCGCAAGATCAAGGCCTTTTGGGACAAGGACAACTTCTTTGGCTGGTCTCAGGGTGTCCAACTTCCAGAGAAGGTGGTGCATCGCGAAGGGGATGAGTGCGTTGACGTGGCCGGTCATGAAGAGTTCCTGGAGGCAAATAAACTGGTGGACAAGATTGCCAAGGGTCAGTGGGAGACCTTCTCAGCGCCACCTATTAACGCGCTCGTCGGGGGTGTTCAGGGTGTTACTGGCTTTGCGTTTTGAGTCTGAGACAAGGGTGTTGATCTCATTGACGGGGTAACCAATTGTTAGAAACATCAAAGAGATGGTACCAATAACAATGCTGGTCAACGGGCAAACTGTCTTGGCGTCAGAGATGGTAGAGTGGCGCATCTGCCACCAACAAACAACAATCTTCCCAACCCCTCACAGATGAACCAACTCCAGCTTCGTCAATAATTTCCCCGTCTCTCTCTCTCTCAACTTGATTCTCAACATGTTGCGTCGATTTTCACGTCGTCTAATTCCCTACTTACGTGCCGCTAGCCTGCGAATTCTCTCTGTGTGGCGACTTCTCCTCTTTGCCTTTGTCACTTGGACTCTCTTTGATACTCTACTCATCCATCGCCGACTTGATGCGGCTGCACAAACTTACTCAAAGCCACAGAGCCCTGTCCGGGTGTACATTGCGAGTCTGCACTGGAATAACGAGCGCATCCTTCGCGACTCCTGGAATCAGGGTCTTCTCGATCTTGTATCAGTTCTCGGTCCCAGCAATATCTTTGTGAGCATATACGAGAGCGGCAGTCGGGACGGCTCCAAAGATGCTATTGGCGAACTCGACAAGGCGCTGGGGGTAATGGGAGTCTCACGGAATATCACATTAGACAAGACTACGCACGCCGATGCCATGACTTCACCACCTCTTGAGCCTGGAAATGGCTGGGTTGAGACGCCGCGTGGAAGAATAGAGCTTCGCAGGATCTCATACCTTGCCCGACTACGGAACATGTCTCTCCAGCCCTTGAAAGAAATGGCTCGGAATGGGATCGAGTTTGACTATGTTCTGTTTCTCGGCGACGTCGTGTTTACTGTATCTGCTGTCCTAATCATCCACTACGGGGAGAACTAACAGATGCAGGTCCCCGACGTGCTTGCACTACTTAACACAAACAATCGCGATTACGCAGCAGCATGTTCACTAGATTTCAGCAAACCCCCTCAGTTTTACGACACATTTGCACTGAGGGATGTCGACGGTCATGAGCATGCGACACAGACGTGGCCATACTTTCGGTCATCCAAGTCGAGAGCTGCCATGAAACGAAGCGAACCTGTTCCTGTCAGCAGCTGCTGGAACGGTATGGGTAAGACAACCCTCATGTCCCTGGACTGGACCCTTCAGTAAGAAGCTAACTGGCGCTCTCTTCAGTCTTTATGCCTGCGGCTTCATTTGTTGGTGATCACGGGCTTACCTTCAGAGCCATCGATGACTCTCTCGCAGCAAAACATCTCGAGGGCTCCGAGTGTTGCCTCGTCCATGCTGATAACCCAGAGTCAGAGACAAGAGGTGTTTACCTTAATCCCAATGTCCGTGTCGGATATGATCGCCGTGCTTATGAGCTGGTTCACTCTAGCGGATCCTGGCTCACTTACACTCAGATCTTGTACGGCCTGTGGAAGAATAGGCTAACGAGGTGGTTCACGACACCGCGGTTCAAAGAATGGTGGGTTTGGAGTTTGGAGCGCGAGTGGCAGAGGCAGAATCCTGGCCGTAGTGAGAACGGGATGATGTGCGTCATCAACGAGATGCAGGTGCTTGTTCATAACGGTTGGGCTCATGTTTGAATTATGGTTTCGGATAGGCAGACTGGGCCAAATGTTGATTTCAAGTTCATTCAATCACAGAGTTGCTTGTTCATGGCAAAATCTCCTCGGAAAAGAGTAGAGACACATGAAGCTTGTCCGATGTCATCCGTACTTGACCATCACCGTAGTTCCGGCTACCAACATGTTTTTCTTTTTACAATCAACTCTTCGATAGTCAATTGTATCATACTCCTTCAAGAAGCCTCCTCCTTGAATGGTCAGACATGAGCCTCGAGACCCACCGCTCTCAGTTTAGAGTTGCAGAACTGAAGCCCCTAGGTCTACCAAGTAAGGCAACTTTGAAGTCGTCGAGGGACTATCGAAGGAGAGACTGCTTGAGAGTGTTCCTTAGATTAACTGCAATTTCTCTGAGGGAGATTTTACTGAGAAGTGCGTTGGCGTTTAGCAATTCTACGGCTTGTCAAGTTGCTAAACCGCGCGAAGCAGTGGGAGCTCAGGGGTGATGGCAGATTTTCCAGAGTCTCGCGTCAGAAATAAGCACAAAATCCACATTTAGGCTGACTCAAAGAACAAAAGTTGAGCCTATATTCATCAAGTTCAATCGAGACAATTCACAGGCTGGATAGTTCTCACGGTATCATCTAGTTGACCCAACCAGGAGACCTGAACACAACGCATTACCCGCAGCAGGCAGAAGCAAACACTCCTTGAACACTTGACCAATCACACAGCTGAAGGATTCCAGTCCATCTGTTGGTTCATCGTCGGCATTTCTTGCAGACAATCTTGGTGGTGTGGGGTTTGAGCCCTGGTTGTGCTCGGGAGGAACACATTGGATCGTTGGATCTGTGCTCCGATTCGTCTAGAGGCAGTCTCAGATAGATGTATTTTCGCTTCATATATGCTGATTAGCCTGTTGGCGTTTCGAGGCTGTCTGCAGCCAGTTATCAACCGAGCAGGTTGTGTCAATGGTTCATGAGTTGAGGGTGACATGGCGTACGATGACAGGATTTAAAGATGTTTGAATCTTACTTGAGACTTAGGTCATAGCGCATGTTTTCTTTGTTCGGGCTATCCCTCAGGTATAATCAGTTCAGTCAAGGCACTTTGTTGAAACAAATAGGTAAGACATAAACTGGTGTCACAAACAGTAACAACATGTGTTTGCTTGATAGAACATGAACACTCATTATACGTTATGGAGAGTATTAGGCGGTAAAACACCAAAGTAAACCATGAATAAGAAATCTGCTTGACAGAACATGAGTGAGAGTTTTTTATCTTCCAAACCTTGACATCAGTGTACATAGGGTAGGGCCTCTCTCTGCCACCTCATCTTGGATCGTACGGTAGGACGTATAGACCATTGGTATCTAATTAGGTGTTGTACGTAGAATCACAGACTCTTAATTGAAGTACCAATGGAGCTGATGTCTTTCTTCCAACTCTGAAGAATGTTCTTTTCCTCAGTTACAGACAACACCTTCATGTCCACTCAATCCCTTTGGCAGCTATTCACACTCAAATCTACCAACGGCCACAATGACACTCAAGGTGTGGTATTGCCCCATAAAACAAGACAGGGGTCAAGTTCAAAAAACAAACACAATGCCAACGAATTGTGGGCCGCGCAAGCATATACGAAAAGAAACAAGCAAGGCACCGATCAAGATCCATCTCAAAAACACGCCCAAATCTCGGTGTACGACTCATGACAATGTTCAGCCGCATGCCGGAAAAATAGATTAAACTAATACCTGTCTGTCTCTGATTCGGACGATATTTGCAGAACCGGTCATTTCCGTAAGGTGTATATATCTACCGGGCTCCACGTGGAGTGTGGCTAATGTAGGAACCCGGCGGGAAGCGATTCATCAATTCCCGTTCATCTCCGTCCGAGCCTTGAACTTTCAGACACGTCGTCTTTCTTCTCCGGCTCCGAAGCGGGCGAGACAAAGAGTCAAAAAGACTGCAAGGCTGGCCTGATTTCATGGCGGCTCGAGCTGCGAGGTGCGGCTGTGGCTGCGGGCGCAAAGGATTGCTTTGCCTGAGAAACCCCATCTACTACCATTTAGTAGACTTCTTTGGTCACGGGAGACGCCAGCATGCGCTTCCTGACTTGTCAATTCGTCAGATAGATCACCTTGTCGTGTGGGACCGGAGAGGCTGAACAGAATACCTAGACATATGTCAGGGATCCAGCTTCAACGCCCGATGCATGCGGCAATTTACAACGGGCATGACGTCTTGTTGTGTGTGAATTGGCTTCTTAGAAGAACTCAGATTCCAGGCGGCCGACCGTTTGCTTTTTGCGGGGGGGGGCTGGACGGAACTTGACGGGCTGAAAGATGTCCAATGTCTCAAGTCAAGGGCCCTTGTTCTTCTTCATCAGCGTTTATGTCGCGCATATGAGCGATTCGCCTCGCCTCGCCTCAGATTCCCGATCCGACGTAGCTGAACGGAGAAAAAAAAAAAAAGTTGGCCTGACTGTGGCAAGGGTCTTTCTGTCTTGTGCGACATGCAACCCTGCAGGGCATCATCTAACATTGGCTGATCGTCTAACCCCTAGATCCTAGCCCCTGCTTTACCCCCACCTCGTTGAACTTGGCGCCTCGGGAGTTGTTCTGGTGTCTGGGGAAGAAGAAGAGGGCCGGTCGAGCTAGGGTGAGTGGGTGTGTGGTGATGTGTCCAGGGGAGGGATCGTTGACGAGATCTTGCCCCTTGTAGCCGCTCACAACCCCCTTGTTTCTAACCCATCCTGCCATCTCATCGCACTTTTCTCCTCCCTCTGCAACCCGATCTGCATCCACCATGATCTGAGCCCGGGATGCTCGGCGGACATGGCATGCCGTGAAGGAATAAGCGCCCACTCCATCTCTGTGCGACAGGAGAGGACCTTTGACACCTTTGACACCCTTTGGCATCCATCCAAGCATTCTAGACCCCCAGATCTGAGACAAGGCAGTCCTTGCTTGCCTGCTTCACTCCAGTCGGCACCTTTCCACTTCCCGGTCCCCATTCGCCCGATCCGCCGAGCACTTTACTCCCATGGCCCCTTTCACTCATTGAAACACGCGTAGATCCAGACACAATTACTCATTTGTCGCGTGAGCTCTGTCTTGGCTTGAGACATGTCACCATCAAAGATCGAAAGATGAGTCTCAGAAACTGACTGGATTGCCGGCTTCAGCCTCTCTCATCAGGCTACCCGAATTCCTCGGCCTCGGCAATTGGCAGCGGAACAAGTCGTCCTCCCCCTTCTCACAGCCCATGGCCTGATCCCACCAAAATGTCTTGGACGTCGTCCCCCATTGAGACACCTGGATGTTCTCGCACAGCATCAACAGCCCCCGGCCCGCACGCCATCCATGCTATGCCATGCCATGCCACTTCGATCCGCGCCGCACGTACCCCGGCTTTTCTGCAGATGGCTTGTAGACACTCGTAGGGCCCTCCTGGTTTTTAGAGGCGGCTGTGGCGGACTCTTTGTTGACCGGATATCCGACCGGATGCACCATGGCACATCATGGACAACTCATGCATTGGCGTCAACGCCATCATCATTAAGATCAACAGTGATGAGCACGACACGGAGTGAAATGTCCGAGGCTACCAGATGTAAAAACAAAGAAAATGTTCAATTTAGTGCTAGATTACAGTACAATTTTGTTGCGCGGGATATAGTAACGATTGCCATGATAGTTCCTTTTTTCATCTTGTTCGTCCCCGCCCGCCGCCAAAAACGCCTGAGGAGTCAATGATATCCAATCCCAATCTAGTATGCCGCAAATCCTCTGTGATATTCGTGCCGGGCCGACCAGCCCCTCATGCAGCATCCTCCACTGTAGGCCTCTTGTATGATGAGCCCTCGTCCGATCCATTAGACACGCTGCCGGAATCGTGGTTGCCCTTTTCCTTGTTGTCCCACACTGAGCTGGCCGCCGTCACCGAGCCGCTGCTGTTGGCGTGCTCCGCCAGCTTCTTGGCAGCCGAGAAGATCGAAAAGTCCTGGGTAATGCTTGTGACGATGCTGTTGCCATCCTGGGTCTCGGTCGTCTTCTGCGTCTTGCTGTGCTTAGTGTCGAGGTTGAGTCGACGAAGGGCCTCGCTGATGCGGTCGCGCTTGGCCTGCTCCGACTCAGGCTCGGGAGATGCAGTCTTCTGCTCCGGCTTGAGGACAGGTGATGGTGGCTCAGCACCGGGATGGCGTCCGGTCTCAAGGAAGCTGGCCTTCTCAGCCTCCTCACGGGCAGTCTCCGCCTTGTGTTGCTTCATCTTCTCATCGAGAGTTTTGGGTGCAGTGGGGTCGGGCACTGGCTTAGGCTCCTTCTTCTCACGACGGGTAAGCTCAACTTCAAGGACACGAGTGCCCATGGGCACCTTGGACTTGAGGCCATTGTCGTCGCGGTCATAGTAGAGGGCCCAGATACCAGGGAGTTCCTCAACGGCGCAGAAGCCCTCCCAGCCTTCGCATGTCATGCGACGGTCCTGCTTGGTGCAGTCAAAAGGGCCGGTAATATGGCCCTCAGTATCGGCACGGACGCCATACTTGACCTGGTAAGTGTTCTTATCGACGTAGATCCAGTTCAGGAATGGAGGGTCATCGCTGATGGTAGTGACAAGGCCTTCGTACTCGGTATCAGGGAAGGGGAGAAAGTATCCTGAGAAGGCATAGCCTTTGCTGACGTTGTTCTTGGGGTCGTGGTTATAGAGCGGGTGCTCATTGGCGATGTAAAGCTACGAGACATCATGTCAGTCATGTCATTGTCAACAGTGTATTGAAGTCAATCTACCTTTGAGTCCTTGAGGACAACCAACTTGTTGTTGATGTCACGACTTCGGATGGAAGGCTTGACACAAGAGACGACCAAGTTGCATCGTCGACCACGATGCTCTTCACGTTTGGACTTTGCCTGGCTCTGTCGGATGGCCTCTTGTGTGCCCAGCATGGCCGGGCACACGGTGAGGGCGAGAAGCATGGGGACGGACATGACGACGGCTTGCGGGTCGTCCTTCTGGACTGCTTCCTTGAGCTTGTCGACTTCCTCGAGGAGTTTTTGCTTGCAGAGACCGCCAAAGAGTTGCTGGAGAGTGCTCTGGGTCGAGTTCTCGGGTGTGTTCTGACTCTGGCTTGAGCTGTCTGGCGTGCTCGGTGGTTGGGGAGTGGAGTTGCAAGATGAGGAGGACGAGGGCGATGGAGACGACATTGATGTCGCCCGGGGTCACGTTTGACGTACGTACGTGAGGCGATATTCACGGCGGCAAAAACAACCCGGGAAAACAAAACAAGGAAGTTGTCTCGAGAGAGTATGCAAGACAAGATGCAGGAGGAGAAGAAGGAGGGAAGACTTCTTCCGGGGTAATCTCTGAAAGAGATTATACAAAAGTGGTACCCTATTTATGGAAGGAGAAGTAGCCAATGAAGGAGCTGAAGACACCCCCAGACACCTGCCTTCCATCGGGAACAAGAGATTTTTGCTATGGAGGCATGTACGTGGACGGGAAGGAGCTGCCCTGGCTGGATCGGGTCCATCATTGGGGAGGCAAGAACTGGGGCTGCGTACAAGAGACGGACATGGTGTCCGGGAGGCGGCCGGTGTTTCCCGATGGAATCATGCCATCCTTAGATCCGAACCGAGCGTATACAATGTACACAAGCGTCAAGCGTTCCACTGACCGTGCTTTTGGTCGTCGAGAAAAGAAAGTTGATGGAATTTGTGGAAAAAGAGAGCCTGACACGCCCAACCCCATGTCCCTCCCATGTCCCTTCCCCGAGTGGAACCTGCCCGCTGCCGGCGTGTGGATGTGGAGGCGGCGCTGATTTCTGGCCAACAATGCGCATGATGCGAAACATCGACGACGGGGATCCCTGCCTTGCCGCAAGCCCATCTCTTGACAACCTTGGCTCAATCGACGATATCCTTGCTTGGGTCTAGGGAGGTTAACCCCTGTCGTCGAGCTAGAGCTCTCCCACCCTTCGAGAAATGCCGTGCAGATTTGTTCAGCCCCCAAGGCGTATACCAAGATCTTGAGAGGGCTAGACGCGGGAGTCAACGGCGGGCAATCGGAAAAGCCGCTCGACTATCGACTGCGGGCCGTCCTTGAGCGAGACAATCGGCCGCCACCGGGTTCATCGGAGGTCCGGAGGAGTTGACCATCGGGAGGGGCCGCTTATACCGCTGTGAGTGCCTGGCTAACAAGCTGCTTAGGCTCTATCCTCGGAGTGCCGCGACATACGTTCCTTGCTAGGCGTCTCAGCCGCCTCGCAATGTAGCTCCCGTGCTGTCCTTGTCGTTCAGTGTCGCCACGGCGTATGCCAACATCGGATGATATCGCGGATACGTGTCACTCGAGTACCCCCCCTCCCTAGTGTCCCCATAGGCCCATCTGTAACCAGCCGTGGTCGTGACCGTGACCCTGCGTCTACGCAAGAGTGAGTCTCTATGATGCTGTGCTTGCTTTGTGTGGTATCTGGTTGCGTGCTTGCTTTGCTCTGCCTGCTCAGGCCGCCACGCCCCCATGCCCTTGCCCATGCTTAACTCTACAGCCGCCGCCCCTTGCTGCCCTGGATCTTGAGCCTGGAAAGGGCGGCAAAGAGATGTTATCGGCCGAGGCCTTGTCGGTTGAGCGCCTCTCGGCGCTCGCAGGGGATCTGGATCGAGGTCAAAGTTGCAATTGAGGCTTCGGCAAGGACCCTCTCTTGTGCGGCTGCGGCTTCGAGATGGAGCTCTCCAGGGGCATGGACGTATGTAGGTCATGGGGGGCTCCAGGGTGTGCAAGGTTCCAAGATGCAACCGAGACCATCGATTGACGAGTGTCGATGCACGCGCGGCATGCCCCAGGAAATTTGACAAGAGCCGCGCAGCTATTCCTAGCGTGCCTCAGCGTGAGACAGCATGGACAACTCATCAAAGTCGTGAGGTTGGTGATGCTGGGTTCTGCTGGTCAAGGTAGCCGCAGCAGAAGCAGCATGGATGTGCCCCCGTCAGGCGGAGCGTCTTTTTCGGCATGTCGTCGAGTTCACCAAGGCGTCCATCGGGATGTTTCGCGGCAATGTGGAACTGGGTGCGGCCTTGTGAGTGTGGCCCTTTGACGCAGCCTGGCAGGCATACGGACAGACGAGACATCACAGAAGACGACACGGACAAAGCAAAAGTCACCCTTGAAGGCTGGGCCAAAATGTCTATATAAGACGACCTTTCCATCGCCCAAGTTCCAATTTCTTTCCTCACCACTCACCATCACATCTTCTCAACAATCATCTACTTGAGCCCCAGCTCCAAACACCACCACCACTTTCAACCACTTTGACAACCTTTGTCCAACAACCCAAACCAGCACAATGTCTGCCCCTACTTCGTAAGCAACCCCGAGTTTCCTACAATCTCCTTCCTTCTCTCGCAATGGCACTGGCAAGCAATGGCTTCTAGCCACCGCTCTGGAGCTGCTTCAGCCTCTACTCTCCAGAGTCTCAACAGCAATGGAGTCTAACACTGATTAGCACTCCCCCTCCTGCCTCTGACTCCCCCATTGCCCAGCCTCCTTCTCCTGCTCCTGCTCCTGCTGCTCCTGCTCCTGCTCCCGCTGCGCCCACGTAAGAATATCATTGATAGCTTGGGCTACCAACTTGAGCAACGCAATGGCTAACACCTGGACATCAACAGTCTCGCTAAGCCCGCCTACGCTTCCGACTCTGACTCCGACGGTCAGGCTCGTGGCGGCCGCCGCGGCCCCAAGCAGCAGTTCGTTGTTCCTCTGCCCACCTCCACCGGCCTCTCTCAGCCCGCTGGTAAGTGATTCGCTCTTCCGAGCTTCTTCGAGAACCACTTTACTGACGAACTCCTGCAGGCCAGCTCCTCAAGGGTGCTACCGACGATGCCGGTGCCCAGAAGTCCGCTGCCCTCCTCGTCGGCATCAAGCTCGACCTTGAGGCTGAGGTCCACCTGACTGCCCGCGTCAAGGGTGACATCGTCGTCGGCCTCTACTAGACGGCGAACTCGTGCTCGCTTGAGTCCATACCTGGTGGATGGTCGCAAGTCAATCAGCATGGGGACATGTGATGATAACGAGAATGGTGAGCACTCTGGCAACGCCCACCGCTATTGAAGGGCAGGCAATTGGAAACCTTTCGGGGTGGATCAGGGTGTCCAAAATGGAAAACTTTCCTTTACTTCTGGACCGGCATATATGAAAATTCTTGTAGCTTAGACAATACAACCTCTTTGCTACCACTTCTTCCTGACATTGGCTTCGCTACCTGACTTGACTGACACTGACATATTCTGAATAACCTCAGCTAACAGCCTCAACTACCTGAGCATTACTAACAAAAAGGTCAAACAAATTGACCCTCACAACCGACTTAATCCTTCCATCTTCATCATTCGACTCTTGTTGGAGGTCTGTTGGACGTAGAATTAAAGCTGACAACCTGACAGGCCCCCATGTCATGCCGAGCCGCTGTCTCACGCTTAGTGGCCCGCGTCCCTGGCCCAACACAACCACACTTATCCAATGCGAGTAAGGCAAGCGATCCAACACGCCATTTTTCCGGTAAAGGTTGCAACGGCCCGTCCAATAGTCGCGATTAAAAAGCAGGAAAAAAAGATCCGATTCAGATCCGATTGAGGAGAATCGACAAAAATTCCCCGGCAGATTCTCAGCCCCGAAGCGAGGTGATGTGTCAACTCACTCGCCATCGAGCGCTAATTGTTCGAGAAGGTTGCACTGCAGCGACCACGTCTACGTTTGCTGTAGCGGACTTTCGGGGAGGATTCATCTTGCGCCCGTCAATGCGTGAACTGCATCGATAATTTCTCGGGGAGTCAACAAAAACATTAAGACATGCAATAACAGCCTCTGCGAACCCGCATCCTGCACGGATACGTGTGTTGTCTCTGTGCTGAGGGGTTTGAGGCTTGTCGGTCCGAACGGGAAAGTGTTTCGGGAGCTGAATCTCGTGCGTTACCAAGTGATCAGATCATGAACTGCATCGGAAGTGTTTCCGGTAGGTTTTTCATGTAATAATGAGATCTTGTTATTGATAAGAGACGCTGAGAAGGGTCCATGTAGCTTTTGATGTGGAATCGCGGGGGAATGTCTACAGTGGGTCTCAAAAAGTAACGACACATTCCGGGTTTCCCCGCTGTATCAGTACCACCACCAAATGAGACTACATCTTCAGCGCCTTATTGCGCAGCCAAATGAGGGCCAGTTGCATCGTATTCTATATCAATCTATAGATAATTGAGAGCTGCATCTTTTGGTGTATCTAATACTTAGTATACCAGCCGTGGGCGCGCACAACAGCCTGCATTCTTCGCTTCATTGAGTTGACTAGGTTATCAATGACTTCCGGCTCAATCTCTTCCCACAGCTCGATCGCAGCTGCAATAAGAGCCTGCTTTGCTTCGTCGGTCTTGGGCATATATGTGAGCTCTGGATATCGCTTGCAAATCCTCTCTTTGAGGATTGCCCATAGGTTTTCTATGGGGTTGAGATCCGGGCTACAAGGCGGCCAGTCTACCACCTCGGCCCTTCGACTCTCACACCACTCATAGATCCAGTCTCGTACGATGTGGGCTGTAAATGTGCTGGCGTTGTCATGTTGGAAGTAACTATTCCTTGTCACAATCCGGGGAAGGTATCGCTGCAAGCATGCGAGGATAATCTGCGCAGTTACTCCGCCGCGAGGGCTTTCTGGATCGCCGGCCAGGGGGACCATCGGGAGGCGCCTGCGATGATTGAAAGCGCTGAAGAACATCTGTGAGTGCCTTGTCGGTCGTACGCGTGTCTGAACATTCCGTCTGAAGAGTCTCTCGTGCTAGAAATAGTCAGAAAAGTCGCAGTTATGAGAAGAACATATACCGGTTTACAGAAGACCCACGTACGCCTCTGGCCCTCTCCTCGAGCGATGATAACCTCATCAGAGAAGGTCCATTTCTCCCAAAAGTCCTCAGCCATATGAACATACCGCCGTGCAAAGCGTAGACGCTTTCTGGCGTTGGCTTCACTAAGGAAAGGTCGAAGAAGAGACTTATAATGCATGATTCCTTCTTTTCGTAGGTATGAGATTAAAGTCGCCCTACAGCAGCTTAACCCAGCTTCCTCAATCAATTCACGTATCTGAAGATGAGGATCTTGGGCAATAACCCTCAAAATTCTCCTTCTTTCCCTCTCTCCAATGATGCGCGGCCGGCCGGACTTGGGTTGGTCCGCGGCACTCTCTTGGTCGCGATATCTTCGTACCACACCGTAAATTGCATGTCGAGAGACGCCCTCTTCCCGCGCGATCTGGGCGGCCGACACGCCCGAATTGTATCTCCAAACAATCCTCGTTCGCGTATGAGGAGAATGATGTCTTTTTGGGGCCATTTGGACGTAAATTGACTGCGTGATGAACGATTGAAGTTGGTGATGATTTTGGTGGAGGTAGAAGTAAAAGCGGGGTACGGGAAAATGTGTCGTTACTTTTTGAGACCCACTGTACCTGGGGACTTGCCTGGATACCCGGCTTATATCCAATACCACCCTCCTATAACTATCCGCTTCTACAGCAACCATAGTTACTGATAGACCTGGCTCTATCCTCCCAATCACGGCTTTCGCGTTTAGAGAAATAATATCACCAAGACATTATACATTGAGACATCTGGGAAGATAGATATGGTTCTAGGTACCTATAACGGTTTGCGGGGAGCCCCAGCCACAGGAACCTTTGTATCAATCGTATGGTGAATCGCCGTGCATGTCGCATCGACGTCGCATATCACAGACACAGATAAGAATCTGAAGGCATAACATCAATGCTCACTGCAAACACCTATCGCTTCATCAAGGAGATATCGTCGGTGATGGTGTTGCCGGATCATCCGATTAATCCGGCCCCGGCCCGAAGAAGCAATTACACCACCGCGCGTCGACTGTGAATGAGGAGTAGCAGAGAGGAACGCGCGATTGCGCAAAGAAGAGATGAAATAATCAAGAGCGAGAATACTTTCCATCGCCAACTCCCGCTCTTCACACACATACACAATTTTTTCTACGATGCCCAGATCTGTGAAGCGCGTGCACGAGCTCATCGACCTTACAGGCGATGACGATACTGAGACGCGTTCCAAGCGGCCCGCGCGGGCGGCGCCCGGCACTTCCAACTCGGTCCCCACGCCGGGCTTTTACCCGGGCAGCCAGTCTCAGGGCGGCGTGCCTGCCTCTCAAGCTTCATTCGCTGAGCCTGACTATCTCGACCTGACTCAGGAGAGCGAGGGTCCTCCGTTTGAGCTCTATGGAACCTTTGGTGCGTTTGACCCTCCCCCTGTGCGCGTGTGTGCTCATTCCTGACCGGGTCGCAGTGGGCAAGATTGTTGGTGTTAGGTACTATAATGGATATGCTTCACCGGGTGGTAAGTGCCTAGATCTTGGCTTTCACGGACGAGAGGAGGCTCACATCGGATAGAAACCGTCCTGTGCAGACGAGAACCCCATAATCAGGTTTGTCACACCTCTGTACCACCTCAAGTGGTCCCATTCTCTGTCTCGGCCCCCGCGCCGTGACATGGTATCTCAGCATGGACCCCGTCGTGTGTGTCTGTGTATCTCAGGGCAGACTCTCTGACCTTTGCTGCAGTACGACCGAAACGCCATCCGCGTAAACAACGTCTTTGGTGATCAGATCGGCCATCTCCCGCGCAAGGTTGTCGAGAAAATCACCCCATATGTGGTAAGACGAGCAAGAATGCTGTGCGATCCGTCAGTTGGTCTGTGTCCTTGTCTAATGTGCTGCTTCAGGATGCTGGTGACATCATGCTCGAGGCCCAGCTCGCAGGCGAGAAGGGCTTCTACGATTGTCCCATCAAGCTGTTCTTCTATGGCCCGAGCAACCCTGATGAGCGTTCCGTGCTAGAGGAGAAGCTCAAGAAGGATAGGCTTATCAAGGCTACGGAGCTGAAGAAGAGCAAGAAGGAGGCCGAGGCTCGTAGAAGGGCATTGGGCTTGGTGAGCGGAACCTCGAGCCATGGACTTGGTTCAGAGCCCGTCATTGCTCAGAAGCCCGAGAAGCCCGAAGTGTCCTGGGGCGCGCTTCTACAGAAAAGTGAAGCGATTGAACTGCGTAATGGTGCAGACGCCATCAAGAAGCTGGCAATTGGCGAGGACCAGCTCGAGAAGCTGCCCAAGGCCGACCAGCCCGCCCAGTTGAAGTCTCAACTATTGCCGTACCAGCTCCAGGTGCGTCTGGTTGTACGCAGTGTGTGATTGCCACTGACCAATCTGTAGGGTCTGGCCTGGATGGCCTCCAAGGAGAAGCCCCAGTTCCCAGAGAAGGACTCAGAGGATGTCGTTCAACTCTGGCGGCGTGACGCTAGAGGCCGCTGCTGGAACATTGCATCCGACTTTGTCACCTCTACAACTCCTCAGCTGCTCTCAGGCGGCATTCTCGCCGACGATATGGGTCTCGGCAAGACTATTCAGATCATCAGTCTGATCCTCACGGGTGGTGGGGGTCCTACTCTCATTGTTGCTCCTGTGAGCGTAATGAGCAACTGGGCCCAGCAGATCAAACGACACGTCAAGGAGGAGCATCAACCTCAAGTTCTCGTCTACCACGGCGGCGAAAAGAAGTCGGTGGAGGACCTGGCCAAGTACGACGTCGTCATCACCAGCTACGGTAGACTTGCCCGGGAGCGCGATCAGGGCGTTTACAGAGCTCTCACGTCGGAACACTTCAAATGGCGACGTGTAGTTCTCGACGAGGGCCACACCATTCGCAACGCGAGAACCAAGGTAGCCCAGGCCGCGTGCGAAATCAACGCCGAGTCACGATGGGTTCTAACCGGTACCCCAATGTAAGCTCCCCAAACAATCCTCAGATATCTCTACTAACACTGGGTGGCATCAACTCGGTCAAGGACCTGCACTCGATCCTCAAGTTCCTCCACATCACCGGTGGCATCGAACAATCCGAAATCTTCAACGCCAAGATCACTCGCCAGCTGGGCTCGGGCAGCGGCAGTGGCGAAGCTCTTCTCCAGGCCCTCATGCACGGCCTTTGTCTCCGTCGTAAGAAGGACATGAAGTTTGTCGACCTCAAGCTGCCTGAGAAGAAGGAGTACATTCACCGGATTGCCTTTCGCAAGGATGAGAAGCGTAAATATGATGCTCTGCTGTGAGTTGGAAGAGCCTTTGTACTTGAATCAGCGGCTGACGATTTGATAGGGATGAAGCGAGAGGTGTTCTTGAAGCATGGCAAGCTAGATCTTCTTCAGGACAACAGGGCCGCTTCCAAAACGTCCTCGAGCGACTCCTCCGTCTTCGCCAGGTGTAAGTTCCCATGCCTCGCTCCATATGATCTCCCTCTAACCTCTCTAGCTGTAACCACTGGACCCTCTGCAAGGAACGTGTCGCCGACATCCTCAACCTCCTTGACGAGCACGAAGTCGTCCCCCTCAACGACAAAAACCGAGCCCTTCTCCAAGACGCCCTCCGTCTATTCATCGAGAGCCAAGAAGACTGCGCCATCTGCTACGACACCCCGACCGACCCTCTCATCACAGCATGCAAACACGTCTTCTGCCGAGCCTGCATCGTCCGCGCAATCCAACTCCAGCACAAGTGCCCAATGTGTCGAAACCAGCTCACCGAGGACTCTCTGCTCGAGCCAGCACCAGAGGACGCAGGCGACGACGCTAGCAGCTTCGACGCCGAGACGCAGAGCTCCAAGACGGAGGCCATGCTGCAGATTCTCAAGGCCACCGTCCGTAAGCCGGGATCCAAGGTGGTCGTTTTCTCGCAGTGGACCTCGTTCCTCAATATCATTGAGGTGCAGCTCAAGGCTGAGGGAATCGGCTTCACCCGTATTGACGGTAGCATGAAAACAGACAAGCGTGACAGTGCCATTGAAGCCCTCGACAATGATCCCGACACACGTGTCATGCTCGCCAGTCTTGCTGTGTGCAGCGTTGGACTCAATCTCGTCGCAGCCGACACCGTCATTCTCTCAGACAGCTGTGAGTCTAATCCCAATTCCTCATAGTATATGCCTGCTTACATGCCAATAGGGTGGGCGCCCGCCATCGAAGACCAGGCCATCGATCGTGTTCATCGTCTAGGCCAGACCCGCGAGACGACCGTCTTCCGACTCGTCATGGAGGGTTCGGTCGAGGAGCGCGTGCTAAATATCCAGAAGGAGAAGCGGGAACTGGTGACAAAGGCCTTCCGCGAGAAAGACGCCCGGGGTAAAAAGGCCAAGGAAACTCGGGTGGCCGACGTACTTAAGCTTCTGGGATAGAGCAAGCCATGTGGCTGCTGGCGTAAAAGTGTGGTTAGGGCGGCGTCAACGGTTGTACAGATATCTGGATTCTGGGGCGTGGAACATAGTGCTCAGGGTTGGCATTCATAGAGTGAATGCCTAGGTCATAAGAGTAAATTCACAGATTCGATTGCGAGAAGATCACTTGTCAGATAGGAAGATCTGCCTGGACGGTATGTTTGCTCTGATGACTTGTTTGCTCCTCCAGTCAACGGCAGTAACTGCTTTGTATGTCAACGTGATTCCACCACCTCCCGCAACCCAAGACATCAATAGATGGCTATCGAGACACTTTTTGATGTTATATTCACTAGTTATACAATGGTGTTCTCACAGCCAAAGATCATCACTTCAGCCATTTGGCATAAGCCCAGCGAATGCGCTCCAAGGCCTTCTCCTGCACCCGGATGTCTTTCTCGTTAGAGAGGTAATCCAGATCCTCGAGAAACTCCTTGCCAACTTCACGAGGCATGAGTTTGTCGACAAGGTTCCGCAGAACGTGTACCTCGCACAGCAAGAGACCGTGGTCCTTGTGCTGGAGGCTGTTTCCGGAAGGATGGGCCTGAGAGAGGATGCGATCAATGTTGCGGAGGATGCGGATGGCCTTGCCGGTCTTGCGGGACTGGCGCAAGCCGGACCGGCCACCGAAAACACCGCGAACGTACTGGTAAATGCTGTACGAGATAAGAACACCGGGAGTGAGACCAACAAAGCCAAAGACCAATTCTTGACTCTTGAGGAGAGAGTCGATGCCAGTCATGGCAACTTCAAGGTCAACCTTTGTCTTCTGAACTTGGATCAAGAGAGACCGGACAAGATCTCCACGGAGGGTTCCCATGAAAGGGCTTTGAAGGTCCTTCTCAAAGGCTCGCAACACGGGGGTAACATCACCCTCAGCGACCTTGCTTCGGATGTCGGCGACTTGTTGATCGGTCAGTGGTGCTCCTGATTCAGTGGCGAAGTGAGGCTTGTCGAGAGCAAAGTCAACCACCATGCGCTCAAGACTCTCACGGTCGGCCTTGAGGCTGTCTCTGCTCATGATGGCGATCTCACTCGTCTTGTCATGTCGAATTGTTGAGACAATCTTCTCGACCGGCTCAACAACCCAGTTGAACCAGAAATCCCGTACTGTAGCGCCAAAGTCCAAAAACCACTGCAGGATGTCGGCCTTGCGATTCACCAAGATGCGCAAAACCGTAGTAGAGGAAACGAGACCAATGGTTGCAGGAAGCCAGTAGCGCACCATACGGGTAGGACGGCCGTTGTCTTTGGTGATGGCACGCGTGGCACCGATATACTCCGGAAGGACCTTGTCAATGAGGTGGACCAAATGTCGAGCAACAACGCCAGGCCTATCCGTACTACTCTCCCTCATGATGGTAGCCGACAGTACGTGGTGATTTCTAGCGCCACCAAAGACTTCCTGTTCGAAACCCGTAACGTCTAGGCGGAGAGAGCCTGCCTCCAACAGGACCATCTCCATGAGGGCGACACTTTGTCCGACGACCTGGGTAACTTGGTCCACCTGAATCTCTGTCTTGCCGTCATCGTGGCCGAATTGGAAGCCTGAGTTCATCAAAACACCGAGGCCGGTTGCCGTGAGCTCTCGCAAACGCTGAAGGTTTCTCCGGTTCTGGCGGGCCTCTGCGCGGTAGAGTGTCAGAGGCGACAAAACTCTTCGACGAATATTACTCAGCGATCGATCCTGAATGGTAGCTTGGACGATGGTGAAGAAATTATTCCATTGGTGAGCGAGACGCGGCGAAGTCGCGGCGTAAATCTCCTGTGAATAGGCCCAAAGACGCCAAGGAGAAGTCTGGATGGCGTAGAGGCTTGTGTATGAATGTGAGCCAAGGACATCATCCCAGTACCAAATATCATCACTGAGGGGGATGATCTGATCCAGCAGGGTGTTGAGGACGATGCCGTAAAGCTGGATGGTAGCTTTGCACACTAGTAGCCACTCGATCTCGGGCTCGGCGGCTGCGAGTTGGCGAAGTCCACCTTCCCCTAGAGGAGGTCGCTCCTCAAGGACGCCTGAGGAAGCAAGAAGACGTTTGATGCGTTGAGCAGACAAGAGCGGTCGAGAAGAAGAAGTGCCGAGAGCCTGGATGATGCTGGACAAGTCGTCTAGACGAGGATTGAGGGGAGCATGGGCGAAAGAAACAACTGACTCATCCACTGATGGTTCAATCTCATTCAAGGGAGGGAGACGGTCCAGGTAGGCATCGAGACGCCTGACCCGACTGTAAGCAGTGTCAGTATCAGGGTTGGTCTAGTCAATTGGAACCCAGAAGGTGAACGCACTCCAAGACAAGAGACATGGTTGAGAGAGGAGCCTGCTGGAGATGCCGAGACGGAGCTGGGGCCGGAGCCGCTAGTGGAGGGCACGGCCGACAACGCCGGGGGCAGCGGCAGAAACGGAGACGATCCGGTCACCGAGTCACGGAGTGAAGCTCGGGACAGGAGCGGGAGGCGTAGGGACAGGGTTGTCCGGCCGGGATATTGTGTGTGTGCGGTGTGTGTGGGTAGAGAGAGATTGTGCGAGCGAGATTAAGATGAGTTGGACAAACACAAACACGAATGCGGCATGTGGAGAAGCAAACAAACAAGGAAGTCGCTATTGGGCAATCATTGCAGAATGGAATGGTCAGGTTCGGATCTCCTGAAGCCGAAAGGTACGATGTGATGGAAATGGAAGAGATGGAAATCCGATTGGATTCGGATGTAAACATTCAGATATTTCGCCATGACGAATGACGACAGTAGCTGGTGGTTGCCCTGTTTGTTGCAAGCCAGGTCCGCCACGGGTAGTGACGTCTTCTCGTATTCGGACCTGGCACCACCTCCCTTGCACGTTATTATCACCCACCGTTTCAGCAACCGTTTCCATGTTAAGGCAACCACTTCAAGAGTCCCAATTGGTTCATGATTTCGATATCTTGAACGAAAACCTAACCGAATCTACTTCAAGAACTTTACTCACAACCTGCCGGCTTCAACGTAACTAGTACTGCCTCAGAACTCTTCAAATCCAGTTCCACAACACCTTTCTTGGCCACATACAGCTCCCAGTGCTTGGAACCCTTCTCAACCAACCTCCCATCAGTATAATTCCAGCTCTGGCCCGCCCACTGAATGCCTTCGTCTGCACTTGCACCACTACCAGTCAACCTCTGAACTTCCACCTTGTCAGCCCACAGGGGGACTTTCAGGTTGAACTGCTGGACGGGTCGCTCGTAGCGTGTGGTGGAGTTCCACTCGTCAAAGTTGATTAACACATACTTGGCCAGGTTACCAGACTCATAGATGCCATATGAAGATACATTCCAAGGTAGCTGGGGAATGGGGTAGACCTGGACCTTTGAGTGGTGACCGAGGACATCGGCAGCAAAGATCTGGCCGTACAACGGAGCGCGGACATGAGGCTCACGCCCATCCTGAGGAACAGGAACCCAGCCGCTGTAGCCAAAGGTAGTTCCCTGGATGAGGTTATACCTGGTAATATTCTCCAAAAGGTTAGTCTGGGGTCTTTGTGATCCTGAGAATCACTTACTGTTGCCATGCCCATGAGGAGATGATCAATCAACCAGAGGGCCGACCCAAACACACCCTCAATCTGAGACATGTTGAGGTTGTACGAGTTGCTGTTAGTCTCGCCAAGAACAAACGGCAGCTTTGGTTCATGCTCAAGACAAGCCTCGATTGCACTCTTGTACTGCGTGACGTTGGCGGCATTGGCCGTGTTGTTCATGTATGAGTTCTGCAACCGAACCCAAGGCTCGTTCCTAGCGGCATATTGGTGGTAAGAGACCGACTTGAGAAAGCCGTTTTGGTCTAAACCATCCCGAAGGGCCTCTTCTCTGTTTGGTTCAAACAGTCAGTGTGGTCTTGAAATCCAACGGCAGTGAAAGACTCACATGCTCCATTCCGGTTCCTTTGTGCCAGCAACAAGTAAGCCCTGAAAGAAACGCTTCTTTGCGAGGCCATACTTATTGTGCTTGAGAACGTGCTTCGAAGCCGTTGCAGCATACTCATTCCACTCATTCACATATTCCTTGAGCGAGTAACCTTCACTCCGGTGTCCAAAGCGAACCATGAGGTCTGGCTCATTACCAATCTCGAAACTTTCAAGCTTGTCTTTGACATTGTCCACGACAATCTTGGCAACCTCGAGAGCATTCTCAAGGCCGCCTTTCTTACCAAACGTGTTGCCCATGTTGAGTTGCCATGACCAACGCGTTCCGGGGAAGTTGTGGAATCCATCAAAGAAGCCAGGGCCGATATAGACCATGTCTGGAATTCCATACTGCGTGGTGAAGGATTCGGTCGTATTCCACCAATTGTACGCGCCAATTTCTTGACTTGCATTGTACCAGACACGGTCCCTGATAATCATGAGCCAAATTCTTGCTCGATGGTTCCGAATGTCTTACGTTGATGTGCCGCCTACACGGATAAAGGGATGAGAACCCGTCTTTGAGTAGAGCAAGTCAAAGATATCGCGAGAAAACAGATTGGGATGGGTTGAGTTTCCTAGGCGTAAACGAAGCATGTGAGCATTTGAAAGCTCCAAGGGAATTTTGAGGTGGTGTTTTACCCGTATAGTCGACAAAAAAGTGAGCTGGAAAGGAAAAGGACGCAAAATCATGAGGGATAACCCATGAAGCACCAATTGGGAGCTTCTCAGGAGATGTGATCTTGATGGGTTCTGAGAAGGCCTGGGCAGCTGGGGTGCAGCACAGGGCCACAGCAAAGACCGAACCAAGGACTGAAGCCATTTCGAATATTCAGTATTGGGTATAGAGTTGATTTGGTTTGTCAATTACTCTCGGATCCTGGCCCTTCTTATACATGCCTAAGATAGCAGAGGTACCGCTGATCCTAGCCGTCTAGTTCACCAACTCACCCTGCTATCCTTGGTAACTACTCATTTCAGCTTCCCCTCAATAATACTAAGACCACTAGAAAGCACCATGACTAGAAAACGCCATCGGGATCCAATATGTCGAAGCTGAGTCGCCGGGGTGAAGGATTTAATACCGCCGGCCTTCGCACCGGAACTCGCACGCTAGCTTCGGCTTTCGGCCCGCGGACTTCGGCACGCGATGGTGCAATGCTGTGTGGAGAGGCAGGAGGATCGCGGGGAAGAGACTTGGGCTAGAACTTGACGTTGCAACTTTCCACTCGGTTGGGTCCAGACTAGGCGATATGTTTATGGCCTCGTGACTGATTGCTCGGTTATCTTCCTGGTCGACGTTGTCATCTGGTGGCCCTTATCGGCTTGAGAGCTTGGTTGCGGGGTCATGGCTGAGAAAGGCGGATACTGCAACTAAAGAGATGATAGATGGATAGGAGTAACTGGGAATGGCCAGAGATATTGATGCAAAAGTCCATTATCCACCGACCTTGGATCAATGGATCAACCAATGCCGGCCTCTGAACGCAGTGCGTCCACTGACGCCCCAGAAACCAGACCTGGTAAGCCTCAGTAAACGGGTAATACAGGGCCTTTGACTAACACGGGAGAAAGTTGCAGGGTGTTTAGTCTGCCGGTCACGAAAGGTTGGTGATGTCGATGGCTACCCTCGCCTTCTCACCACGGACAACTGACAAACAACACAGGTGCGATGCGACAAGTCAGTCCCCAGCTGTCGAAGATGCAACCGATTAGGAGTTGCATGTCCTGGCTATGAACCAGATCACGGCTCCATGTCCAGGTCCGACATGCTCAAGTCGACAGACGACATCTTCAAGGCGGCTGGAGTTGACAAGCGTCGGATTGGGTCGTGCAACGAGTGTCGGACATCTAAGAGCCGGTGCACCAGAACGAGACCAACTTGTCAACGATGTAGAATGAGAGGTCTTGGTTGTGTCTACCGAGGACTCGGTGCCGACAAAGATTCAAGTGTCAGTCCCTCCGATCTTACCTCTCATAAAGGCCCTGATGAGATGTCAGGGGTAAATGCTGGGTGAGTTTCCCATCTCCATAACTCGGACGGTGAGAATGACCAAGTAGACTGTACTCGGAGGTTATCCCAGAAGATCCTGCCTTGCTCTCCCGCCTCATCAATACGTATTTCGATCGTTTCCACCATCTGAGATGCCTAGCGTTTATTCACAAGCCATCGTTCATGCACTCAATGGCTCGAGCCAGTGTCATTCAGGACTACAGCGAATCTCTACTGTACGCCATGTGCGCTTTGAGTGCGAGGTAAGTTTGCCGTTCACTGACGTAAGGCAGTTCTAATCTCTCTCTCCAGGTGTATTTATCTCGACTCTTTACATGCCTCATCAGAGCCAAACCATGAACCTGGGCCTATCCCGGGCGATGTTTGGGCCGAAAAAGCCAGGAAGATGGTGTTTGACGAAATTCACCTCCCGACCATTCACCAAATAATGGTACGTCGAAAATCAGCAGCTAGTGGCAATTATCTTACCTGAAAAAAGACCATGATTCTCCTTTGTGAGTATGGGCTGAGGAATGATCAACACTCACTAGTCTTCATGCTCTGCGGCTGCGTGTTCCGCGCTATGCGTCTACTCGGCCTTGATAGTCCCCCGCAACACCTCCAAGCGGCGGCTCAACTATCTGGAAATCTTGAACAAGAGATCAACCACAGGATAGTATGGGCGTGCTATACAATCGACGTTCTTCTGTCATCGGGAGTGGACAAGAACTCTTCTTGGCGGGAAGACATTCCTCAAGTGCCATTGCCATGCTCTGACAAGGACTTTTTGCTTCAGACACCATCACGCAAGAGATTTCTCTCCGGTATCGAACAGGAAGACATGTCGACGTTCGTGAAAGACCTCGACCTCTTGCCACTAGTCACCGTGTTGGTTAGATTGCGAGGCAAAGTCCTTCGGTAACTCATTATCTTGCTCTACACCCTTCTCATGTCGCTAACAATTTACAGAATCATCCGAACCTTGCCGCCCACTGACGCAAACATATGGGACTCGTCTTCACCATTCATGCTTCTCATTCGAGAGCTTGACACCTTCTACGAGAGTCTTCCGGATAGACTGCAGATCACTGAACTCAACACTTACATACACAAGGACCAGCACACAATCGGGGCTCTCTTCTACCTCCACCTGATGTATAATGCTGCCATATTTGACCTCACGAGGATATCTCTAGCTGGATTCAGCTTCCCTCTGGCTGCATCATTTCAGCACGCACCGCCCGAGTTCCGCTCTCAGTGTCAAGAACGTTGTCGCTTCCACGCTGCAGCAGTCTCAGATATCGTCCGGCAAGGTCTCACACACGGCCGTGTCGCATTTGATGACAACTTTTGCGCAGATGTGGCGCTCGAGTCTAGCAAAGTACAAATCATCCATTCAGCGACGGTGGCAAACGACGACCAGTCCACGGAAAAGACGAGACAGAACTTGAGGACGACACTCCAGCTATTTGACCTTTTGCATGCGAATCAAGATGGCCAGAGCACATATGTAAGTTATAGATAGCTTGCAAAAACTTTACATTCTCACATTCCAGACAGGTACGGACATTGTTACCTCTGTGCATTCTCTTTGGCTTCCGCGACATCGCAGAGGAATGGCGAGACTCTCAAACGTATGTACAATTACATAACTGCCAAACTCCCAGACTAACCATCTTTCAGGCCCCATCGCATGTCACCTGAAGTAACTGGCACCGCAGAGGTTCACCATTTGGTCAGCTTCGCCCCATTCCGTAGAGCGCAGACAGAGATAAAGGCACGGCAGAGCGCCAGTCCGAGGACCCTTTCTTCGTCTGCAATCTCGGCTTCGCAATCTGCGCGACGTGCAAACGAAGAGCGGCCGCCCATCAACTCTGTTGACAATGCTGGCCCTGATCAGCATCTCGTCGCTGTTCCCAACCCGGGACCTATCGCCCACAACCAAGCAATGCAGGTCATGGCGCAGGAGATGGATACAGATCAGATAGATATGACGGATCTACACATGGTTCATCCCTCTATGGAGGACTATATCCGGACAGCGGGTGAAATGTCGGACTATTTGACATGGAACATGTCTGAGCTGCCTGATCTGTCCATCTGGACTGACTTTGGAGGTCAAGATCCGTCTTCTGGCTGACAGCTGGAGGAAGGCTTTTCCTGGACATCTTAGTATGCCCACAGAAACTAGCAATTGCAAATCTATATATTGATAACTGCCAAAACGCCTATGATACAGACGGGATGACGCCTTTGAGTCTCTCTGGAGTAATCTCGGGCCTTCCAATGTATTTGATCCACGCATAAGGGTCTTCCAGCTCATCCACCAAAGTCGCCTTTGCATCTCCCTGAACACCAGCCTCGTACTCTCCAGCCAAGCCCACAACACCCACATCCTTCCTGTACTCCTCCCACAGCTCGAGCATTTCCTTGAGAAGCTGAGGATGCTTCTCTGAAAGATCTTCCACTTCTCCTGGGTCCTCTCGTATGTTGAAGAGCTCCCACTTCTGTGGTCCCTTTGGCGCTGGGACAAATGTGATCTTCCAGTCGCCGCGTCGTAGAGCCCCTGATCCGGCAATTTCGAATCCCATCACGTAGTCTTGGTCATGCACCTGCGCCTTGGAGCTTGCTTCTGTATCATGGATGAGTGAGAGGAATCTTGTCCAACTGCGACCGCGAAGTGGTGCAATCTCTCTACCTTTGTAGTGTGTCCCAGGATGCTGCAGCTTCGCTAGGTCGAGAACCGTCGGGACAATGTCCATGACCGTGCAGAACGCATCCGTGATGACTCCGTTTCCAGTTGCAGATGATATACCCATGCTGACAGGTGGCCTCACCACAAGAGGGACTCGACATCCGCCCTCTGTAGAGTGCATCTTGTAGAGTCGAGAGGGAGCTGTTGCTGCTTGAGCCCAACGACAGCCGTACCAGACGAAGCTGTTCCCACGACCGATATTCTCCAGGCTGTTATCGTAGTACTTTTCCACGTGGGCCATGATGCTATCACCAACAATAGGCTGGGCTTCGTAGCTCGCCCCTTCGGCACCATTGTCGCTCATGAACAAGACAAACGTGTTATCGTATTCACCAGTCTTACGAAGGTAGTCGACAACACGGCCAATGTTCCAGTCCATGCGGTCGACCATGCCGGCATAGACCTCCATCGCACGGCTCGAGGCCTTTCGGATGTCTCCAGGGAGATCATCCCAGTTCTCGGGTTTTCCGTCTATTATCACAACAGGATGAGGATTCACACCTGGATCAACCATGCCAAGCTCCTTCAGTCTCGCCAACCTTTTCTGTCGCAGCGCTTCAGGGCCATCGTCATAGAAGCCGCGGTATTTGTCGCATACCTCCTTCGGCGCTTGGAGAGGCCAGTGCGGTGCACTGAAGGGGAGATAAGCAAAGAATGGCTGGCCTTTCTCCTCTTCTGTCCGACCCTCCAGATACGACATGAGCTTGTCTGCGTACGCATCGCTGCTGTAAAAGTCGTCTGGCAGCCGACCTAAAACTCTCTCATCCTCAACGTGAAGAGCACGAGTCGCAGTCTCAAAGAACTTTCCAGGCTCTGTCGCGGGATCTTTGTACTGAGGTTCATAGGCGTAGTGGTTGGCGCACCCTGGGAGGAGGGCGAATGACTTCTTGAAGCCTCGCTGGATGGGGTGATGCTCTGACTTGAGGCCGAGATGCCATTTTCCAGACATGCAGGTAAAGTAACCACCGTCAGATAGTAGCTCTGGAAGTGCCACAACGCGTTGGTTGAGGTAGCCCTCATGGCCTGGTTTTCCGTAGTGAACGGGGGATGCGCGAGTGATTTCTTGGAGTTGACCGAGTCCAGCAATGTGATGGTCAGTCCCTGTATTTCGGTCAGTTTCAACAAGGAGAACACCTAAGACATCAATCCTTACCCGTCATCAACATCGATCGCGTTGGAGAACAGGCTGCAGCAACATGATAGTTGGTATATCGAAGAGCACCGCTCTCAGTCGCCAAGGCGTCAATGTTGGGCGTCTCAATCTCTGAGCCAAAGCAACCACAGTCGCTAAAGCCCAGGTCATCGGCAACGATGATGAGAAAGTTTGGTCGCTTCTCCGCCATTATCTTCTCTTTCAATTGGCTCAGGATGAAGCTATTCAAGGTTAGAGATGAGGTGCTTGGGTAACCGTCCCATGATATGTCTCAGCGTGAGCGATATCGTGTCAAACGAGCACGCAATTGACCTTGACGAGGGCCACCCCTTGTATTCCCATTTGTTTCCGGTAAGTATTCCTCTCGGGGCGTCAATGGGCGCTCGATCAACAGCCCCGTGATGACCGCCGGAACTCGCATCGGAACTCGCAGACCCGCCACCGGCTTTCGCATCGTCTCTCCACATCCCATCTACGGACTTCGCACTCAACGACCCGCAACCTTGCTCCCTACAGCACCAGTTCAAGGTTATTCGGATTGCCCATGGGGTAATTGCTACGATGATGTGATCTAAGTTAGCTCTTGTGCCATTTCCGGCCCTAGCTCTGGGGTCCTGGAGCTTGTATATATACCAAGCTCAAACATACGAGACAAGAACCTCCAAGAGCCCAGGTCGATCAGCTCTCTTGTGTCTCATATTCACATTGACTCACATATCTCCCTTGGTTGAGGCTCATCAGAAGAGTTCAGTGCCGATCTTGTCAACATGGCAGTAAAGGAGCCCGGCAACCATGGGGCGAACGATAGCCTGTCGCCAGCTCAGCGACTGAAGCACTTTAACGGGATGCTTGTTTTCATCATGATGTAAGCCAACATTTCTCAAGATCTCCCACGAGGTACTTATTGGAATAGATACCTGGCGTTTTGCGCCTTCAACTTTGGCTTCGATGTCGGAACCTTTGGCGGTGTCCAGGCAATGCACAGCTTCACCAGCATGTTTGGCGAGTGCGACGACAAGAACGTTTGCGCTCTGCCTGGATGGCTGTCTTCAGTCATGACAGCTACGCCTTTTCTTGGAAAAGCAGCGGTATGTTTCTCGCTAAAAATTCATGTGCTTGCTGCCATAATGCTGACGCTCACTTCAGGGTTGCATCGCCTGTGGTTGGATTGCTGAGAAATGGGGTCGTCGAGCCGCTATTCTCGGCATCTGTCTTGTCTCTTTTGTGTAAGTGATGCTGAACAAGACTCAGTACTTTAACTGACGCTCATTTCCAGAGGAGTTGCTCTTCAGACGAGCGCCACAACAGCAGCCCAGTTCACCATTGGCCGAATCATCACATTCGGCATGACAGGCATGGCCATCGTTGTGATTCCAATCTACTCAGCCGAAGTCTCCCCCAAGGTTCTTCGCGGAATGTTTGCTTCGACAATCCAGGTCATGATCATCTTTGGTCAGGTCATCTCAACGCTTGTCACCTACGGTACCAAGAGTATGCAGAGCGCCGCAGGGTGGCGTATCCCCATCGGTCTTCAACTACTAGTGCCCGCCATCATCTTCTGCCTCTTGCCCTTCTTACCTGAGTCACCTCGCTGGCTACTCAGCAATAACAGAAGAGATTTGGCCGTGGTGAGCATGAAGAAGCTGAGAAAGTCCGCCACCGATGAGGATATCCAAACTGAGATTGAGGCGTTGGCTTATGCTCACGCTCATGAAGAAAAGGGCACTTGGGGAGAGGTATTTGATAAGAGCAACCGCGTGAGTACATTCACCAAGTCAGAAAACTGTAGGAAATACTAATAATTTCACCAGGTACGGACTGGGGTTGCCGTTCTAGCCATGTTTGGCCAACAGATCACAGGCCAAGCGTTCCCATCCCAGTACGGTGTCATCTTCTATCAGTCCCAAGGTTACGGTGATCGTTCATTTCTGTTTAATGTCATTTCCAACATCATTGGCATGTTTGGTGTCATTCTCACCTGGTTCTACATCGATACCACTGGGCGCCGCCCGGTCATCATGGTCGGTGGTTTCCTGATGGGAGTGTTCCTCATGATCCTGGGAGGTGTGGGATCCATCGACGCCAAGATCATCAACCACCACGAAAAGGAACTCATGGTGTCTTCACTTATGCTCTTTCAGTTCTTTTACAGTCTGTCTTGGGCCCCATGGTAAATTCATATGAAAATCTCTGTTTGAAAGGGATAAAATATCTAACCTTTCACAGTTCATATGTTGTCCTCTCAGAAACGGCCGCGCTTCGCCTCAAGGAAAAAACCAACTTATTTGCAAGCGTTATCTCTGTTCTGACAACATTCGTCACCTCATTCACTATGCCGTATCTCATCAACGCCAAATATGCAAACCTTGGCGGAAAGGTCGGCTTCATTTACGGAGCCATCAACTTTGTCATGGTGGTGGCAACTTTCTTCTTCATCCCTGAGCTCAAGAGCAGGACCTTGGAGGAGGTGGATCAGCTCTTTGCCAGCGGAGCACCATTGAGAAATTTCAGTGAGATCAGCACCAAGTCTGCCACAGAGATGTATGAAGAGGAAGTTAAGCAGGGCACTGCTGAGGTGAACGAGAGGGTTGACAAGGTGGAGGTGGCCTAAGCCTGGACTCTGAGGCTTGTTCAAGGTTGACAGTTGTACTGACTGATAACTTGTGGTTTTTCTTGCAACAAAAACACACAGTCACTTTTAAGCATTTATACATCACCTAGGTATTGAAGCGTTTTTAATACTGTGTATGAAAGCATTAGTGCGTGGGGTGGAAAACTGTGGCTCTTTGTCACCACGTCTAACGCTCTGTTCTATTGTTTGACCTTTTGGAAGGGGATTTGGAATCGATTGAGTAGTTTTGGGTAAAACTTGTGCCTAAAATTTGACTATATTTCATAACCCTGAAGATGACTTTGCTTGTCCTTTCAAATGAAGCGTCATTGCGTAAAGTGTGAGCTTTCCGTGATCACGGTTTTTAACAAGCAGCTAGAAAACCAATACTATAGGAAAGAATCTAAATATGATCCCTGAAATTCAATTACTACTCTCAAAACAAGTAAAGAAAGGCACATGACCAAATGAAATCATTAATTTAACCGTGCCTAACTGTGTCCCGTGTTACGCGCAAGATATGTCTCTGCAAGCACTTATCCCGTAGTAGCCACCCTACACCAATACACTGTTCCATCGGGTAGTTGTCAACAAAGCTTGAAGCGCATAGAGCAGAGGACGGCAAATTCAGGGAACCAATAGCAGACACTGCAAAGGCGGTCAACAAACTTATCGAACTACTATTGTACCCCCGCGGTGATGGTCATTCGCGTTAGCCAAGAAGAAACGGAGATTCCCGGTCCCGAGACCGTTTCGAAGGTACAAAATGCACAGGGCTCGTATTCGGTCGCGCATCGAGCCGCACGCCTTTGCAGCCCCCCGAGTACGGGAGGCGCACTAGTCCCCAAAAGGAAAGTCAAGATTCGCACCAGGCCGTGGGCATGAACCTCTTCCAGATCATGGGGGGATCGAAGCGCCGTCTGCTGGCGCCGACAAAGTTGCAATTGCAAGGAGCTTGATTGGGCGAATGACCTCGCATGTGAATGGGAATTCGCGGGAGTCAAGGATGAGGAGAAATCACGCGAGTGAAGACGAACGGGTGAGGCTTGGAATGGATGCCGAAAACGAAAAAGAGGGCGCAAGATTGATGGACGGCCACGCGGAAATGCGCGACGGGTTTAGAACAAGGGGGGAGGGGCACCATTGACATTTGACCCAGTAGATCGGATTTGATAATCTGATACTTGGAGGCGAGGGTGATCTGCGCAGTAGTTCAGGGGTATTTTTCTAACTCGATCGCTGCCGCCTCCAAGCGCCGGTGAAGGGAAAACCACACCACTTTCTCGCCAACTCTCACGTCCGGGAGAGCGCCGTCCCGAATGGAGCCTCTCAATCTAGTCGAGTTACACATCACTTAGGATGGCCGGCAGTGCTTTGCGCGGATGAGATCACAGGGTTCGGGTTGGAGATCCTGGGAAATGTGTTGCCACCTACTCCATCTAGGATACGCTCAAATGTAAGAATCACCTGTTATGATGAAGGCAGAGCACGGCCAGCAACAAGGGGATGTAGGGGACGAGGCATGAACGGGTTTGCTGTATACTCAAGCTGCACAGCGAGTTCTGGATCAATTCGCGACGCCTCAAAGAGACGCTGTCAAGAGATAGGAGTTGGTGATGGCGCCCGCTAAATTGACCTTGATTTGGATCTTCACCGCCTTCAATTGCACCTACAACTTGTTAAAGAGGCGTCATGTTCCCCCTCATGCTCGACCCCGGCAGAAAAAAAAAAAAGCAGATACCAGGGGCCTCTGAATGGTCCGAGAGTATTCCTCAAAATTGCCGTCCAAGATCCTGGATATACAAAATCTGGAGCGGTGACGAGCCTCCGAAAACACATCTGAAAATCCCCCCTTGAAGGTCCCTGGAACGCCTTCTCCCGTCGGTTTTGACTGGTGCTCAGCCATGCAGGCTGGGGCCGGAAGCCGGAAGGGCAATTAGATAGTGGCCTCATTCTGGAACCATTTTCTCTGGCTCGCCCATCTGCCATCGAGTTTGCCGTTCCGTCATGCACGGGCCACACGATCCAGGGGTCCTTATGCTTCTGTGGAAGCCTCTGTTTGGGCTGTCAACGGTCCTGTTGGGGGTGATGAGCACGTGTGAATCTCCCTTCTAGGCATGTGTGTAACCAACCCAAGGGCCCGCCGCCCACCACTGGTACGTACCCCAATTGGATCTGCCCGGGCAATCGAGGAAATGATAAAACCTCCCCAACAGCCGCTCTGTTTTCTTCTCCCATCACCGCCCATCGCCGACACTTGTTCTACGAGCCGCCTTCCTCGACGACTCGTGCTTAGCTGGTGTTTGCTGGTGACCTTTTCCTAGACCTCCTGGGGCTCTCTCCTTCCTGATTTTCTCCTTGCGCAATCCGGTGCTTCAAGTTTGCCTTTCACCATGGATATGCTGTGAGTCTCCCCCTGATGCTTCTTGGCCACATGCACCAATGCCTCCCGCAAACATTATCTGACCCCTTGGCTCGCAGAAACACGACTATGAAGTCGTTCAACCAGACGAACGACTACTTTGTTGTCCTCGAAGAGGTTTCAAAGTACAATGTCCAGCTCAATTTCCTCGAGAAGCTCTGGGCCGTATGTCGATCCGATTCCCTCTCGCCGCCGTGCGCCCAGACGAACGAGACTGACAATTTACTCAGGCCTGGTACCTTTGGATGCAGAACGATACCCTCGCGACCGGAATCATGAGCTTCGTCCTCCACGAGCTCGTCTACTTCGGCCGTTGCGTTCCCTACATGATCATGGACTTCATTCCCTTCTTCAACCGCTACAAGATTCAGTCTCAGAAGATTCCCACTCTGAAGGAGCAATGGGACTGTGCCGCCATCGTTCTCGTTAGCCACTTTACCGCCGAACTTCCTCAGATCTGGTTCTTCCACCCTATCGCCACCTACCTCGGTATGGACTACAACGTGCCCTTCCCTCCTGTCTGGAAGATGGCCTACCAGATCGCCATCTGCTTTATTATGGAGGATGCCTGGCACTACTGGTTCCACCGCGGCCTGCACTACGGACCTCTCTACAAGGCGATCCACAAGATGCACCACACCTACTCCGCCCCCTTCGGTCTCGCCGCTGAGTACGCCTCCCCTATCGAAACCGCCCTCCTCGGTATTGGTGTCGTAGGCTGCCCCATTGTCCTCCTCAAGGTCACTGGCGAGCTTCACCTTTTCACCATGTACGTCTGGATCATCCTGCGACTTTTCCAGGCCATCGACGCCCACAGCGGCTACGACTTCCCCTGGAGCTTGCGCCACTTCCTCCCCTTCTGGGCCGGCGCTGAGCACCACGATCTTCACCACGAGAAGTTCATTGGCAACTACGCCTCCAGCTTCCGCTGGTGGGACTTCTGCCTGGACACCGAGGCCGGTGCCGAGGCTCACAAGCGCCGCCGCGAGAAGAAGCTGGCTGCCATCAAGGCCCAGAAGAAGGCCCAATAAACGGCTACAGAGGAAAACCTGGGAGGACGACACACTCTCGATTGCGGTGAATCGAGGCCGGCCGAGCCAGGAGCTTGACGAACTCAAAAGCAAGTGGAGGCTGTTGATCATGATGAAGATGTAGACCCTTTGCCCAGCGGGCATGCGCGGTCTGCGATTAGAGCATTCGCATGGCGTTTTGGGGATGTGGACTAAGAACGACTTTTTACGCTTGTATATACAGAAAATCATTATGCCCAGGAGAGGCCCTAGACTTATCTACTTAGTTAATAATCGACGTCGTTCGTTGAAATTGGAGCAGTTTGCCTTGACTTGATGTCATCATATCTCACATACCCAGGTGCCATGATATCCAATAACAGTCTCATGAGAGCTCAGCAAGGCGTTACGATTCGTCAATGCCATAGATAATCTCCCCGTTATCCTGCTTACACTATATGTATAAACCTCGCCGTTGCTTCATCGTACATGCGCCATCCATCATTTACTCTTTGGCGTACAGCAGTCCCCTGCAGCACCAGCAGCCCGGTCAGCCAGGCCCCGGATCGCGCAGCTCTGCCCCTCCGCCTCGACCGCCGCCTCGGGCACTGGCTCCGGGGGCAGCTCGCCTAGCTGCGCGGCGAGAGTGTCACACTGGGCGGCCATGTCGATATCCTTGTCTGAGAGGCCGGCTGGGTTGTGGGTCGTCCAGCGGACAAAGGTGGTGTTATAGACCTGGTTGATGGTTAGAGAATGAACAAGAAAACGAGAGTAAGAGGGATGATTACATTAGACCACTCTGGGTGGTGGTTTTTAATCTTACATTGGAGTGCCACACCTGTCATGAAGTCCTGTTGTCGAGTTAGTCCGTTTGATGATATTTTCACAACCTCAAAACTACATCTGCAACATCTATACACAAAATCACTCAATCGTAACGAGAAGTTGACCAACTCACCCACGTCTTTGCAAATGTCTTGAACTTAAATTGCCTCTCCAGCGCCGCACCATCTTTGGCAAGCGTCCAGCGCCCGCCGTCGGATGTGAGCAGAGCCTTGAGAGCTGGCGTGACGCTCGCGGCATCAGTGCCAGCAGAGAATCGTGGCTGGGCCATGGTTGAAGCTTGACGGAGGAGACCGGGGAGACGGGTCAAGGGACGGAGAAGGGGCATCCTGGGGGAGGAGATGTGTTGTTGGCGGCGATGTAGAATATCGGGGTAGGCTGAGAGAAGGTTGGGTGAATGAGAGGTGGAAGAGGAGTGAGAGGCGACGATTGAAAATACATTGTGCACTGGAAATTGTGGGCGGCGGATGATGTACCGTCTAACATCTGATCGTTACTTATGTATCTTGAGATCTATGCCTGCACTATAACCAAAATTTGAAAGACACGTCACGCGAGTCTCAATGAGAACCACTTGGTGCCTTGATCCCTATTCCATGTTGTTTATAGATGTCTCTGAAGGCACGGATGTTGTGTACTCATCTCCAGGACGTGGGGGTCGGTCGGCTCAGAAACGATGGTTAATGGCTGTGAGTTATAGTACTGGTTGGTTTCGTACTGCCTTTCTGGAGCTCTGGACTTTACTGTCCGCTTTATTGAGGGTGTTTTAAGCCTGGATAGGTGTTGCGTCATACATAATGAAGAGGACTATCCTGTCATGGCCCTTTCGGCACTGGATGTGACTTACACAGCTACAACCCGAGAGACAAGCAGACAAGCTACCAAAGTTTGAGTCTCGGAAATTATCCAAGCTAATTTAGCGTATTCATACCCAATCCCTTTTCAAAGACATGATCATTTATCTCGGACAACAAACCTGAAGCCTGAAGACGGGCGCCGTCCAAGGGTCCGGAAAGCTCGGGAGGAGCTCCGAGATCATTGGCCGAACCAAGCGAGGCGCCGGGCTTCGCTGGTCTCAAGACCTCGTGCGGGCTGGGGATGGCTGCAGCAAAGATTCCATGTTGGACATGAAGGCGTGCTTGCTTGGTGAAAGCTCTGGGATGCTGTTGACCGAGTTTGACCCGCGCCAAGCAAGCGGTCTGTCCACATGGTTACTGTATCAGTTTGAACATTCAGCACTAGAGGAGAACGTAGCAAGCTGAATCATCATGTGTGATCTCTGCCAGAGGAGGTGGAATGAATGTGTCTTGGTTGATGGTCGCATGCCTGCAGTGGTAAAGAGTCCAAAGCTTGCTTGTTCAGGGCTGGTGGGAGGCTTCACTCACTGGGTCACAAGACATGGCACGTCCAGCACACTGTCTGAAAACCATTCACAAAATAAAGAATTACAACGTCAACACCATTCATAGTTATTGTGACGATCAGCCAAGGACTTCCACATCGGGTATTCAGGGTTTCGTCCGCGTGAGTCCGTGGCTCTGCAAGCTGGTGTCGGGAAAGGTGGCCCGAGCTCCCTTCTTCCCCCCACCATCGCTCCTTCTTGGCGCTGGGCACGGCCCATTTACATGATTTCACCCGCCTTTGCTGCTGACAAACCCTTTTCCCTGCTGCATCTACACCACTCCCCCTCCCCTCCTCATCAGTCAGCTTCCCATTTTGCGATTGCGAGAGCTCGTCTTTACGCGCCTGTTGTTGAAGAACGCGCGCCGTCAGAACTTCATCAGCAGAAAAGAAAAAGAAAAAGAAAAAGTCGGTGCCCGGTAAAAGGCAAGAGGTGTCGGTTTTTGTTGCTCTTCTGGAACTAGCGTTGTTGGTCTGCTACAAGTTTTCATTCAGTCTGTCGCTCAATCAATCAACCAGGCATCAGCGCCTGAAGCAACGCGTCTTTGTCGCTCCCCTCAGGTTGAAGCTTCACTAGAGCTCGCGACTTCGCCTTGGAGACGAGAAGAAGCTACAATCTTAGTGGCTCCTAGGACTTTCTCAACAGCTTGTCGCCTCGGTCATCATCGCATCACCACTCTGAAGAAAGAGATTGATTCTGGCAACCGCTCTCAGCTCCGCGTACAGCAGTACGGCACCATCATTCAGCCTAGGCTAGGTACTGTACGTGCTGCAGTACTGTATCCGTACAAGCGATAACCTCCACCACCTAGGGGAGAGAAGCCCCATCCATCATCGACGGAGCCTGTCGACTGTCGCATCCCTCCATCCCCGGCCCAGCCACGCCATTTTCCGCCTTGATCACCCTCCTCTACGCATCCAGGTTACATAATCCCTCTTCGAACGTATCACCAGTCGCCGGCCTTCTCCCTCTTCGTCAGCGTCTTGCCCGCCCCTCGTAGTAATAATCATCGCGCCCACGCCGCCGCCCACGCCCACTTCCTGAATGCTGAGTCAGACTCTCTTCCCCCAGAGCTCAAGCATGCAGAACTCCTCAGCCAACGGCGCCAGTACTCAAGGTCAGTCAAGACAACTTCTCTTTCTTTTTTGTCTCCGTCTCTGTCGCTTCGCTTGATACTCGGGCGCGTCCTGGTCCCTCGCTGTACGCTCCTCCCTTCGTTGCACCCGCCACACATCGTCATCTGTCCATCGCGACACTCATACAGCACCTTGCATCTTCCACTTGACATCATCCCTGTCGCGCCCTAGCGCATGTCAATAGTAGAACTGGGAGAGCTTCATCTGTTATCTCCTGTACATTCTGCTCCTCATCGCCGGCGTCGGCCTCGCGCTTCCTCCGATTTCCGATCCGCTTGCCCCTGGGCGCATTGGCTAACACCAGCACCCCTCTCCAGAGCAGCATCTGCGCGCACAGCTCGAACTCCTCAAGAATCACGACGCGACGTCACCTTCGGCACCTCCTGGCGCTCGCGACCTCAGGAACCAGCCGCTGCAGCCTGCTCCTGCGCGGCCATCGAATGGCTTCGACCACCTGGCCGCTCCTCAAGACGCTGTTCGAGCTATAGCCGCTAAAGGCGAGGCTGAAGCTCACATTCATCCTGAGCTCCGCGCTCGACCCAACCACGCGCCAACCGCAAACATGATGCCCATTGTGCCCCCGTCTGGACATAGTCCAGGCGCTGCTGCTGGTCCTTCTGCCGCACCCATTGCTCCCGCGCCGCCACTCTCTGGCCCGATGGACGAGATGCAGGGTGATGGTCGTAAGGCGAAGCGAGAGTTGTCCCAGTCAAAGCGCGCAGCCCAAAATCGAGCCGCTCAAGTAAGTGGAACGAATCGTGAGCTGTAGACCAGCTGTACTAATTAGGGTTTCTTAGAGAGCTTTCCGGCAGCGCAAGGAGGGATACATCAAGAAGCTCGAGCAACAAGTACGCGACTACATGGAGATGGAACAATCCTTCAAGACTATGCAGTCAGAGAATTACGCCCTTCGCGAATATGTCATCCACCTGCAATCACGACTGCTGGATGTTCACGGCGAATTCCCCCCACCACCACCTAATGTCAACCTTCAACCGGCACCACCAACTTCCGGACCCGCGCCGAGCGTTCCTGAGCCGGCACCTAGTAATCCTGCCGTGGGAACACCTCTCGAGGCCGTCGCGCAGGCCGTGGCCGGCCTTGCAGCTCAGGAGCAGATGGCGGAGCGACAGCAGTACACGGGTAATCAATTCAAGCCTGAACCCGCCGCCGAGGACACGCGGACAGCGGAGGAGATCAACAGACAGCTACAACAACCCGAGGAGCCTGCACAACAACCCGCGGCTTGACCGCAAATGATATCCATCTGACTGTTGGAAGACGTTATTTTTATCACGGCGTTGAGGATGCGATTGTGGTGACCAATGTTATATAGGAGAGCGGCGTTTCGGCTCCTTTGATGCTATTACAACCAAGACCCCCATGTACGAAGTTTCCGTACGGAGCCTACAAATCTCGCGGTAATGTTGACCGTGCCGTTTCTACCCTTTACAGGTCTTGGGGAATCTACATGATTTCAACAGGACCGGGGTGCTCACCGGCTGGGCTGGCCGAGCTGATATTGGAACAAGTGGGAGGTGATTTGCAGAAGGGCGTATTGTGTTTCTGTTTTCAAGACTTTCAGACAGTGCTTGCAATAAATCACCCAAGTTAGGGTTAAGCTGAGCCAGAGCTTTTGAAAGACATTGTTCCATGATTAACGCAACCTGAAGCTAATAAGTTAACAACCTGATCTACCGTACATGAACCCACCCGCTTTTGACTCCATGCCCCCATCAACACTGCCGATTCTACACGTACGAGTTGCCCATGTCGTGTTCCTAAGAGAGTCAGTGATGAGTTAGGTTGAGCTTGGTTAGTCAGACGTACCTTGATATACTCCGCCCCCTTTTCTTGATATTCCTCCCTCGAGATCTTGGCCGTCTTCCATGCTGAGCTTCCTGCCCAGCCAGCAGCACCCTTCCAGGCATCTAGCAGGGCATCCTCAGCACGACGCACAGTCAGCGGGGCGTCAGCGGGCAAGAGGGCGCGCAGACCATCGCGCACGCGGTCATCAAAGTTGCGGAACAGGGTGTTACCGCCAGTGAGGAAAATGTCGCGGAGGAAGTCGTCGCGATTGGGGACACCGCCAAGACGCTGGTTGAGGATGTCGCCGGCAATCTCGACGATGCCTGATTGGTCGACGCCGGCGATTGAAGGGCGGAAGACCACCTCGGGGACACGAATGCGCTCGACGTTGAGGTGGATCTGGTTGAGCTCGGCCTGAGAGGCAGGGTCGAAGGGGCGGGGACCGCGGGCGAAGGCGTGGAGGAGAGATTTGGACCAGTCGGACTGAGCCTCGTGGGTGTGCTCATAGTCAAAGTCTGGATCGTAGCGGAGGAGGTCCTGCTCGAGGGACTTGAGGGTTGAGTGAAGGTCCTCCTCCTCCTGCTCGTCATCGCTGTTATCACCCACAGCGATCTGACGGTATACACCCCAATCGTCGTCGTTGGCGCCAAAGTTATCGTCGTCACCTCCGCGCCGTCGCTTCTTGGTCGGGTTGTCGGAGGCCAGGTTGGCGATGCTCTTCATGCGGATCTGCGAGGCAAGGGACTTGCGGTTTCCAAGATCCTGCTTCAAACGCTCCCGTTCCTTCATCTTCTGGAGCGTGTCGGCGCGCCTCTGTCGCTTCTCGTCAAGCCAACTGTCGAGGTCGTTCTGGCGGCGCTCCTGATCTAGACGCTCCTCCTCAGCGGCGCGCGCCTTTTCGGCCTCCTTTTCAGCCTTGGCGCGAGCTCGAGCTTCGTGGTTGGACTTTAGCAGACGCTGCTGGCGCTTCTGCTTGATCTGGGCCTCATCGAGCTGGTCGTCGGGGATCTCGAGGAGATCAAAGTTGGGTTGCTCCTGTTCCTCCTCAGGATCACCACCGACATCCTTGGTCCGTGCCTTCTTGATGGCCTTTTCCAACTCCTTCACGACCTTCTCTAGATGTGCTTCATCCTTGATGTCGCTGCTGTCGAGAAGGCGACGGGTCTCCTTCTTGGTCTGGTCTGTGATGCGCCTCTGGAGGTCCTTGTAATATTCCAAATCTTGCTCCTTCTTCATAAGTTTCTCTAGGCGCATTTTGGCAGCCTGTTCTTGGAGCCTCCGGCCACTCTCCTTCTTGCGCTCTGCTATCCGGGCCAGCTCCTCCTCGCTCTTCTGAACAATAATCTCTTCGGTGTACGGATATTGAATGACAATATCACGATCCTCTAGACCTGTCCAGTCAAGGTACCCCTTTAGCTCGTTGTCATAATCCTGGGAGACGTAGCCATGATCGCGAAGCATGTGCTCCGCTTGTGAAACGTTCAGCTTGCCAGCAAAGGCCGGGTATTTTAGTCGGATGAGTTTGAGAAGATATTCGGCATTGTGGTAGCCTCCCCAATTCAGCCGGGTCGCTTGGCCAAGCAAAGCCTTGGAGTTGTAGACTGGAATTACGTGGGTCGAGGTGTATGATGATGAGACCACTAGACCGGTCTTGCCCTTGTTGTGTCGATACGAGAAGAGAGAATCGATTCCATACGCCAGTGAAGGTGCGCCATAGCATTCGAAGATGATCTCGGTCATGGCTTGAAGACGAAAGGTTAGCATGCGAGGCGCGCGACAGGCGATTCAACCTACATTTCCTTGAGTATGGCAAGTTTGCGACGGCCTCTGTCATGACGATGGGAACCTCAATACCGCCGTCCGCCTCATTCATTCCGAGTTTGAGAAAGATATAGTCCAGCACATGCTCCATCACGTCCCAGTTGCTAACGATTCCGGTGCCAGCCTCGAAGGCGCCTCGAATGTGTCCTCGCGCGGTCGTGTCGGCATAGCAGTCGGAGCCAGCAAAGGAAAACGTCTTGCCCAGCTTTCGGTCGCGATACTTGGCCATGATGGGAGGGATGCTGAATCTCGGCTTCGAATCGAATGACCAGCCGGCGCGCACGGCGGAGGATCCTGAACAACCCGTGTTAGCTCCTGGCTCGTCGCATGCCCTCGTGCAGGAGGCTCACCATTATCGATGACGATGGCCGCGCTGCCAGGATTTTGTAGCGCGCGCCTCCGTCCATCGCTCTGAGGCTCGATGTAGTTCTCGAAGCGCGTCTCCTTGACGGGGAAGATCTTGGCGGGAGGATACGTTTTCGGCTCGGGCGCCTTGATGGCAGGCTCATCGATGGCAGAGGGAGCCATGGTTGCAGAAGTCTAGGGCGGATTACAAGAGGGGGTTGGAAATCATGATGGGGGGAGAAAAGAAATGGGGATATTCGACACGGATTAAATTCGGTGGCCAATTGGTGTAAGCTTGCGAGATGCTGGAGCTTGGAGAGAAGCAAGGTAAGGTAAAGGGTGCGAGGCTGCAAGGCTGATGAGGGACGTGACATGCCGCAACTCGGGATCCACTAACTCAACGCGATCAACGCCACGGTTCAGGGCAGGAGGAGACATGAACCAAAATGTCCGAGGCAAGATTTGAGTAATAGGATGTTATTTATCCCGTTATTCAAGTTAGGCATCAACAATAATAAGATATTTGACAGAATTTGTATCGACATCTATCCTTCTGCCATCCATGTAGTTGCACCAGTTGATAGGCACAGCATCCCGTCTCCAAGTATCGCCAGGTTTCAGTCGGTAACCTCTGGTATCTCGCCTATCATCGCCAGGGTGGATATGCCCTTCCGTGGACAACAATGACCATCTGATCGTGCAGGTAGACTCTTAGGTCTATTCCCTTATCATGACTTCGTTTATTCATTCAAAACAGCCTCCATAGTTCACACCCACTGCCATATGTCTAACAACCCTCACTTGAGTCTCAGTTTGGGGGCTTCAAGTTATCCGTAGCTATGAAATGGTGAGAAATCTGCTTTATGTATGTAGTGAAATACAGATGCTTACCCTCAAGATGAAATAGAACATTGGACTGGTAGTTCTTAAACATTTGAGCTACCAGTTCCACGTTCATGTTTTGGATGTTGATGTCCTATGGGTATTCGTCAGCCTGTGACATTTCGATCAAAGGAGTTGTCAATTCTACCTGAAGGCTCTTGTTCATAACAACGACAGCTTCATTGAGTTTCTCCTACAAGCCGTTAGTTCTCTCGTATTCTAAGTCTGAACCCGTTACTACGTACGACATTGGTGATGATGCGGGACAAGAGGAGGTTCTGCTGATGCTCGTGTGGGCTCTCCTGTAATTACTCGTAAGTTCAAAGCCGTAATGATATATATATTTCGAAACAACCAATGTGAAAGCCTTACCATTTTTGCAAATTGTGTAGTCTGCAAGTGTTGATGTCTTGACCGAGTGTGATGCCGTGGGGCCCTTGTTTACTTCACCCTCCTTGGGCATTCGCCCTAGCGCAACCTCCCATCAACACCCCGGCCGATTTCAGGAACGCGGTGAAACGCGGCAGAATCTGGAGGTCCGACCAGCTCGCGAGCTATCAAGCTTGGCGTAGTCCAACGCCGACACGCAATATTCTTGCCATTCAATACTCAGCAACATTCCAACTTTTAATCAAGTTCTATCGCAATCTCATCGAATAGCATCCGCCAATAATAAACGAAAATGGCCGCCCCGACCGAGGCGCAGATTGCCCATCAGCAGCTCATCGAGAAGCTGGATATCCATTCAATCCACAAGAAGTTTCGCAGCTCAACCTGGAAGCCGAACCAGCGTCGAAACAAGAACCTCAAGGCCATAGTAGGCGATGCCTCACGACGGGAAGCTTCAACGATGGGCACACCCATGGATGTTAGCGGCATCGCGACCCCAGCCGACGATGGCCTCTCGACCAGCGGTACCTCAACACCTGCCACCGAGAGCGGCAAAGAGCCCCCGAACCTCGCCCAAGCATCTCGCAGCCTCTCTAAGCTCGTCCTCGAGAAGAGCCTCAAGCCTACGGGTGGCCCTGTTTCGGCTCCCACTGCTACGTACACAAACATCGAGTCAGCGCCATCTCTGGCGCACAACAAGCACTACTGTGATGTGACGGGTTTGCCAGCGCCCTACCTCGACCCGAAGACGCGATTGCGGTATCACAACAAGGAGATCTTTGGTCTCATCAGAACTCTACCTCAGAGTGCTGCTGAACAATTCCTCGAGGCCCGTGGTGCTCACACGGTTCTGAAATGAGCTTGGACTTTTGACATTATACACCTAATTAAAGCGATGATTTCTACATATTCCAAGAGAGGGCGGATTGATGGTCGAGCTCTGCAAGGAACCACAAGGCACATACACACTACGCAAACAACTAAAGACACATACAAGTGTCGGACCAACAAAGTCAAGCCCCAACTATGCACCCAAGGCCTTTCAGCCAAGGGATGGCAATTGACGCTCCGGCTTAATCGTGATCGCGGTTGCTCTCCGCCTAGGTCGACAGACTACCGAGAACGTATGGGGAAGAGACGTGTCTCAGTTGCCAGGGCGAAAAACGCCGCTGGCCGTCGCGGCAGGTTGTACAGAAAGGAGGGATGCAAGGGCAACTCCATCTGTTGTGTTGATGATTCCATCCGGGTGAAGCAGTTCAGAGATAATAGAACATGTGTTTTGTAGAACCTCCATTATCACCATAGTCCTTACCGTAAAGAGATCCCTATGCGGACAATCGTATCGGATTTGCCGCAGGATCAAACGAGGTGGTCGTGTGAGCCATGATCACTTCGAGGATGTGAGAATGCAAGGTGAAGAAGCAAAGTCTCGTAAAACTCGCAGCGAAATTTCAACTGAAGCCCGCACCCACCCACCTCGGCCACGGCAGCCAATCGCCACCCTCCCGTTCCAGGGGGCCACATCTCCCCTAGCCCACTTGGGCAGGGCCCTGTCCATCAGCATTTGAGCCCCAAACGTTCTGAGGACTTTACGCGCCCCTGGAACGTAGGGAAGGGAAGGGACCTCTGGTGGGTGGCTGCTGCGTGTCCTTGAGGGCGGCGAGAGCTGATAAAGGCAGGAACCACGTGTAGCAAAAACGAAACATCGACCTTGGTGTAATCTTGCATCCAGCTTCGCCCTGCAACCAATTCCTCTCCTCGCAACAAATCCAGTCTCGCGTAGTTATTCCCGATCGTCATTATCCCCCAGTCTTTGCCTCCATCCATATTTTGACCAGCAAAGCTATACCAAACCAAATCGCCCAACATGTCGATGTGGATGTCGGACAGCCAAAGTACGTCTGTGCCTGCCTCTGCCTGCGCGCGCCCTCGCGACCATCTTCCTATTCGGACCCTGAGTTGCATTGGATCGCCGCACATGGACAAGTCGAGGAGAACCAGTAATGCTAACGGTTGTCCCTAGAAATTGGAGTTGTCTTCTGCTCTGGCGGTAGGTATGCGCTTGCGCAGAGCTTCGGCGCATAGCGAGCCATGATGGCTGATGACCTGTCGTGCAGGAGGCTTCTTCCTCATCGGAGGTGTGATGCTATTCTTTGATAGAGCCATGTGAGCCCCGTCCAGTCTTCCCTATTGCCCGTTGTCATCTTGCTGACGATGCTGACTGCTTATAGGCTTGCCATGGGAAATGTACGACTCCCTCCCTTTCCTCGATCCCCACGAACCAACGAGCGATACAAGAACCCGAAGCTAACATGCCCTCCGCACGAATAGATCCTTTTCCTCATCGGCTTGACAATCATCATCGGACCTCAAAAGACACTCCTCTTCTTTGCTCGAAAGCAAAAGGCCAAGGGCACCGCCGCCTTCTTCCTCGGCTTAATCCTCATTCTCATGAAATGGACCTTTATCGGCTTCCTCGTCGAGGCGTATGGAATAGTGATCCTATTTGGAGACTTCCTCGGTACGATTGCTAGCTTCGCGCGTGGGCTACCCGTTGTAGGGCCCTATATCGGAATGCTCGTCGACAGGATTGGTCTTGGTCGACGCAACGCCGAGCTTCCTGTCTAGGTCGTTTGAGTCAGTTCTTCCAGGGATCACAGACTTGTGACGAGACGAGTTCGTTTTCACCAGGCCCAGGAGCTTGTGAGGAGTCACATTGATTTGGTAGAGTGCCAGAGGCGGAGTTCAGGGAGGAGCATATTGGCTTGGAATCCCGGCATCGGCGTTTATGAAAGGAACATGTCACGAGTACATTGGGAGGGACAAAAGCACTGTATATTACCTTGTCTGCTTGAACCGGCGCAGCAGTTTGGCGTAACAGCGAATACAGTCAGTTGGACATTTCAGTTCAGTTCATCATGCTGAACAAGACTTGTATGGGAAGATTTGGAGGGCACTTGGATTGCCTATATGCAGAATCGTTGTAGAAACAAATTCGTTTGGACGATTCCTGGCCAAACAAAGAAAATGTCCTCCTCGCCGGTCGACGCTCGGGCTCACCGCCCAGTGCTTTAAAACAAAAGCCCTCCTCTCAACACCAGCTCGTCATAGCTGCGATGCCTATCCGGGCCGCGGGTAGACAGCGTTCTTGGCGCTCCCTAGGGGATCCCATCCCGTACTCGCGAATATCTAGTAACCCTGACCGATGAGGTAATCGGCGAGGGCCTCAACGGTGCTAGTGGCGTTGCCGGCAACCTGGGCCTCGCCGTGGTGGCCGACGACGATAGCCTGAGTGGTCTTGGCAACTGCGACGCCGAGACGGCCCTGTTGGAGTCAAATGTTAGTATATGCGGTGAGGGATGGCTATGGAGAGAGCTCTCGTGGGGCTCGGTATTCGTACCGCTCGGGCGTAGAGACTTCGGCCCTCGACTCGGGTCAAGACGTATCGCTCGCCACCGATGTACAGACCCTCGGCAAAGGCCTTGTCGATGGCGGCCTTGTTTTCGCTGACAATGGAGGAGATGGCCTTCATCTCCTCGGGCTTGAGCTGTAGGTGGGAAGAGTCAGTACAGACTCGGACAAAGACGGCGTATAGAGGATCAGAGGACCGCCCAGCTGCGGGACGAGGTTCTGTACCTGAAAGTCGGCGGAAGTGGCCCAGGCGCTGTCACCAGCAGCGCTGACGATGGCGCCCTTGTCGATGTGACCGGTGGCGACGAGGCTGTTGTGTTGATAGAGGTCAGCATCGGCTCGGTACTCGGTCGGGATCAAGACGACTAGAGGCCGCGGTCATGACTGAGGATTCGGTGTAGAATTACCTAGTGTCGACGTATGCTATATCGGTGAAACAGCCATCACGTCAGCTTTCATGAAAACCTCAAAATGTGCAGTTCAAGGTGGGGTTATCCAGAGGCGGTGATGAGGGAACCAGACGATGGAGGGGGAGGGGGAGGGGAAAAGGTGGGATGGGGGGAAGGATGACTGACCTTGCCACGACATGATGATGGAAGAGGACTGAAGAGAGCACAAAAGAAGAGGAAGAGGGTATAGGCGGGGGGATGCTGTAAAGTACAAGGAAGACGACGAGAGGCCCAAGATCGGAGGAGGTTCAAGTTGCGGCGCGAGGTTTTGAAGGTTTGGAGGTTTGGCGGGGGAGGTCGAGTTGGGGCCTTTGGCTGTCCGACGACTTGACTGGACTGGACTTGACTGGATGTTGTGATTCTCTGGAGCTTTCCATTTGCCCCTCCACTCCAGGCTCCGTCCGTCCCCGCCAAAAAATTGTTACTGACTGAGCTGCTGCTACTGCTGCCCAGCCAGCAGGCGTCCTCTGCAGTCAGGCAAGGTATTTTTGGGCCGTGAAGATGATGACCCCCCGCCAATGGGTAGATCTACCAGGAAATGCGGTGTAGGAGCGGTGTCGGTAAATGTACAGTCGACTTGATGCGACTCAACGGTTCCCAAGCCAGCCGGCATGATCAGCGCGCCTTGCTTCATGTCACGCATTTTGCATGTTGCCATTGTCGAAGCCAGTCTTGTGTGACGTCTGATCCAGGCACGCATTGTTTACTCAGCTTTTTTTTCCTGCTGTGCTTAGATGCTTTACATTGGATGTCTTTTGCGAGGCTATGCGTTGCAGCACACAGAAAGTAAGCTTACTCTGAAGCTCACGATGGACAACAAACAGACAACCTTCATCTCATCGTCCGACGTCACTAGGAGGGGCTACAGCTTTGGTGTTGGCGCCAGAGGCACGGGAAGCTCTTACGGGCCGCTGGTACAGACGGAAACATCCGCCAGGAGTTCAAAGCTAGAATTCTAACATCGCGTTATGCCAAGGACTCTATCTTGAGCTTCGAGTCAGAAGAAACTTGAGAGGAATAAGGCCGAATCTGACGAGAACATTACGATGATGTGACACTCTCAAGACTCTCAACACGCGCCTCGGTTTCGTTATTCGGCGAAACAACCATTGTGGCGGCTTGTTTCCAATAGTGGTGACAATCTTGAGAGAGAAAAGCAAGTTGGAAACAAAAGATGTGAGGATGGTAACCAACTCGTTGCCTGATCCCTAACAAGACTCCATCGTCTGACGTGTCCTGGCCGTTGTTAAAATGAAGAGTCCATTCGGTAATACTACCGAACTTTAATCATAAGAGAGAAGCACTGGCTCTCCTTGGATGCCCGGTGGATGAGCACAGGCCGACTTTTCATTAACGCCTGAGTTTGCCAATGCTCTTTGTCCCTGTGCAATATGATCTCTACAATCGTTATCGACAGGCTCGTCTCTTTAAAGTCGAACCAAGCACAACAGCCGCTTACCTTTACAAGGAGGATCCTGGCATGTTTCACGTCTTAGGTCGTCTGTTAAGAACAATAGCATTGCCGGTATTGCCCAGGAGCGGGTATTGGCCGGAGTGAAACAGATTGCTTGCTGCCCTGGCTTGGGTAGCCTTCGCATCAACGGCGAGCGGTTCCGAGGCCCGACGCCTTGAATGCTACTCTGCTGAAGATCGCTCACGAGCCTCAGGGTTGGTCTCTCCCCGGGGTTGAACGCCTCTGGCCCGTGTTGAGTAAGGCCTCGGAGGAAGGACCCCTGGAAATTGGCAATCTGAGACGCGTCACAGAAATCCCGGTCGACTTGGTGGTGGGCAACATGAAACAGGGCAGACAGAGCCCCTGAGGTCCTTGGGTTGATGAGGGAGGAGGCGAATGATGAACTTAGCGATCCAATGACGAACGACGGATGCGCTATTATTCCTGAGCTTCCCTTTTCGGGGCCTTTGGGGGACTCACGAGGGCCTGGTCTGAGGGGGGATAGCTTCAACTTGACCGTCAGCCCTATTCGAAGCGCTAGCCTGGTGATTGCTCCCCTCCGTGTAAGTGAGATGAAGGACGGGTGCAGCTCTGGGCGGCGCCGGCGACGCCGGTCTTTGCGAGCCGCGCGGGAGCAGGTCGACCATTGTGCGCCACCTAAACTTCTAGAAGAACGGGAACCGCTTGTTCTACATGGCGTAGCGTAGCATATTGTTTTGTCCAGCCAAACCGTTGGAAACAACAGGGTCGCGTGTGTGCGGCCAGCCGCAGCAGGGCCAGGCCGGCAGAAGAAAGAGCAGGTTTTCTGCGGCTGTTTTGGATCGGTGGTTTGCTTTTTACCCTGAGACTAGTTCCTGCTTCCATGTGACGGGGTGGGTTTGGGTGGGAGGGACATTTTTGGCGCGCGCGTTCCTCCAATTTAAAATCAACCACCCGCTTGTAACAGAAGAGACAGAGAGAGAAGGTATTTTGACTACCGAACATGAGACCCAAGCTTTTTGCCCAGCGCCGCAAAGTCGCATGCATTCATCAGCTGCGACGTGTGCGCCCCAGAATGGTTCCAGAACCTTTTGAGTTGTGATCCAATCCATGCCAGCATTTGCCCTGTTGCGGTGTGAGGTCAAGTGCCGCCTCTCATCAAGACAGGGATCTTCAGCGACCGAGCGAGCCGCCCACGCCCAGGCTTTGACAAGTCGCTGCGCTGCAACACCTGAAAGATTGTCGATGCGATTCGGCGTTACATCGAAGGGTCGACATGGGGCCTGGGGGTCATCCCGGGGGCGAGGGGGCTTATTAGACAACGATGTGTCCTTGTTGCTACGTGCTACGCAGGAATAAGGCCATGGTCCATCTCGGGATGGCCGTTTGGCGGTTAGACGCAACCTGATTGATGCATGCGTATATCACGACGGGACGACGCATCATGTAGGCAGTCAGAAGCGCCGCTAAATCATGAAACTCGCAGGCAAGCAAGGCAGGCAATGTGACTGTGTAACGCTGTGTCTGCTGAAAAAACACACGACCTCTTTTTTTGTCCATGCCTCCAGATTTCTGACACACGAGACAGACCGTGTCTACCCCCAGGTCCCACCTCGCAACGGACAGGGCTCCCTCGTCGACACCTTTGGCGCTTGGTTCGGACCACGTATGAACGGCCGGACAGCCCAAGTAGCGCCAGTAACCAGAGAGTCCTGACTCCTCATGCGGTTAAAGGGCATTTTTGGATCTAAATTCTGAAGAACCGCCTCATCAACCTCAAACGTGCGGGCGAGTTGCCGTCTGTTGGCCCGTTCACACAGACAAGAGTTCTCGAGTATCAAAACGCAGCCCCAGGACCCCCCCTTGGTCACCTCCGTCTTCCCAAAACAGCACATCATATCTCGTTTGTTGGTTGACGAGCATGATAATAAGCTGACGTTGCGTCCGTCCATCCCATCTCTCCATCCATTCCTTCCTTCCCAAGCAAGCATCTCCCGCATAGGACTCATTTGCTCTCGGCAGCCAATCCGGGGATGGGCTCTTTCGACAACAAAATTGCTCTTGCGCTTATTACAAACCATCCTTGCTCGCCGCATCGTCATCCAGGGACCCAGTTCCCTGCTTCTAGCCGGCCGTTTAACCGCATTAGTCCGGATTCACATCTACAGCTTCATACAATAGGCTCCCGGCAAAGGCGGGGTGGTCCTTGTGAGACGGGGGGGCAGCCTAACTCGACGTCTATATCACCGATACTGTCCCTTCTTGACGAGGATCCCGGGCCCCTGGGAACTTGGTCTTTTGGTGAACCATCTGCTGTATCAGACCCTGTCGATACAAGGGATTGGCGGTCAAAACAGGACGGGACTCACACTCTTTACTATACTCATACCCCCCGCTTCCTCTGCCTGCCCAATTTATTCTCGACACTCCGCATCATCATCCCTCCCCGCCGCAAGATCGCGAGCGAGTGAGTGAGCGAGCGAAGCGATCTTCAGTCATGCCTACACGATCGAGAGCCGCCACTGTATCTGCTGCAGCCGGTCCCAATCGACGCAGAGGAAGCTTCACGGCTGACCGGACAGACGACGCCCACAACCTCTTTGACAGGCACGCTCTCGACAAGCGAGTTTCAAGAGACGACCTCTCCCTCGCCCTCAAGAGCTCCCGAAAGGCCAACAACGTAACCGCATTCCATGTTCCCATCCATTTCCGACCACCGTCTCCCGACGCCAGCCCCCGGAGCTCGTCACTAACACGCATGACTATGGTACGGACCTCGACACCGGATTCCATAGGAGACTCTAGCGAAACTGGTGTTATTGCCATCGGAATGGCGATTGGAAGCCCAACACAAGTAGGCGAGTTCACGCCGATCGCGGCGTGGAACCCGCAAAGAACAAACAGCGCTGCAGCCGAAATACCAGAGCCCGCACCTGAACCTGTCGACGACACACAGCAAAAGACACGGAAATGGGGGATATTTCGTTCAAAGTCAAAGCGAGCTGCGCGCCCGACACAACCTCAGCGATCCATGACGGACACGCCCAATGTATCTACAACGTCACTTGCCTCTGGAGGCACGGTGCATGACCAGAGGAAAACACCAAAGCACACACCCATCGTCATACGGTCTCAGACAGAACCCGTACCGAATGAGCCAGAAGTACCACCGCCGCCGCCGATACCAGCGGACTTGAAAACTCCGCCAGACCTCAAGCCTTTGTCGCCAGGCAAACTCATAAAAGAAAGGCCAACAGGCATCGAGAGGAAACCCTCAAAAGAAGTGAAGAAGGAGTCGAATTCATCAGGGGGTATAGGTCGCAAGATGTCATTGAGAGCCCTACGTGGTGACTCGGCGAGGAGAAGAGCAGAAAAGGCGGCAGCGGCAGCTCCTCCTCCTCCTTCACCTCCCCCAGTACCTCCCATGCCCCAACTTACGGCATCTCTGCTTGATATCGAGATCCCTAGCATAAAGATGGAGCGATACAGTGTCATGTTTAACGGCGTGCTCCAGACGCAGGCCACGACCTCGTCCGCTTCATCGCTTCTTGCTCGACGACATGCCACATTGGATCGTCTCCAAACGATTGGCGATGGGGTAGCTGAAGGACACGACGATCACTCACGACCACGAAGAGCAACTTCACCTCAGCCTTCACCGACCATAGTAGTTGACGCAGACACATCGAAGCCGCTGCCTTCTCCTCGAAACCGAGCCTACACATCACCCGCTCTCATATCGCCCGTGCAAGCAGCTTTCCAAGATGAGGTGCAAGAAACCGCACAGGCCCGAATTGTCCAGGTCCCAAAGCCGTCTCAGAACGCACCGAAACTCGTCTCCAAGTTCAGCGTACGCAGAGCAGCCTCTTCTCCCAACAGGAGGAACGGACTCACTTCTACCCGGGGGACATCACCTGTGCTCATCTCACCTACCGCTCGTTCGAAGGCGCCTTCTCCTTTCACGCCCGAGACCTCTAGCCTTATTCTCGACTCTCCCGCGCATACAGACGACGAGGCTTCAGAAGCCCGTTTTGTACGGGGGCACCCTCAACTGTCACCCTCAGAACCTTCGTGGAGCATGGTTTCTCCTCCAGCATCCATCACATCAACCAGCCCTGAAACCTCCAAGAAGCTCTCTCCTCCGTCATCCTTAGCCTCACCGGATAAAATCACCGTCATCAGACCTCCTTCAGAGAATAACCCCGAGGATGCCCTCCGCAACGCCGTCGAGATCTCCATCGCCCGCCAGATCAGCGTATCGCATCAGCAGCGCAAGATGCTCCATCCCTTGAAGAGCAACCCGAGCGTGAGACGAAGAGGTGACAGTAACCCCATGGCGCCAGCCGGGGCTTACATTCCCATCGAAAAGAACGAGCGCCTGGCCGAGACCAAGACAGCAACTCCAGTGCTTGTGCATCCTAGGGGGGAGCTGGCCCACTCGCCTGATACATGGCAGATGCATCGCAAGAGTGAAAGGGTGATTCTCGAGGGACCTTGAAGTGACACCATACTTCACACACAACGACACCTTTACCTTTATCCTTCCTTCCCTATGTTGGACATTTTAGATCTTCTTATACTTCTTTTCACCCACATTTTTTTTACAAAATACCCCTTTTTTCAAAAGCTCTGGCAGCAACCAACTCGCAGAGGCCTCACTGGTATGAGTCAACCTCTTGCATCCACCTCAGGGCAACCATCCCTCCAAAACAAACGTTTTTCCCTTTGTCTTTTTTGTTAAAGAGCAAGCAAGCAAAACAAGCAGCCTTGATGGCCAAGATTGGGAATACCACGAGTTACGAGTTGCAGCAAGGCGCAGGAGAAGCATCGGATTGGCAGGACAGGGAGAGCGAAAAACTTGAAACCCCCTGGAAGCAAGCATCTTGCTGGAGTTTTTGTCACAAAGGGGGGATGGGGGTTTTTCTTAAGAACGAATTTTCTTTCAAGAACGGGCTTTTTTTAAGAAAGGGGTTTTTCACATTTGGTCGACACGTCTTTTTTTTTTTCAACTTCATCTCTGTGTCCGTTTGTTGGGACTATATAAAAGAAATACAAGGCACGATTCTCCCATCATTAGCAACTCTACCCGCCGAGGCTCCCACGCGTAGTTGATGTGATGTTATGAGATGTGTGGATGATTTCCTCCCTTGCCCCACATCAAAAAAGTCTAGTTAAGCTTGTAACGAAACGACATGGCCCCGCGAACGAATGGTGGACGAAAACGATTGGAAAGTATCTGCGCCGCACGAATAGGTAGGTAGTTAACCAATCTCAATACCGACATTCCCATGTATGCTGAAAAGAAGCCACGTTCAACGCCGGAAAAACGAAATGATTCATTACATCAGAACACAGCACGAGTTCTGCTTCTTGGCTTGCTCTGTCGGGATGAAACGTTAGTCAGCTGCCACAAGTTTGATACCCGGGGATCATGGACACCCGAGAGACCGAAAAGGAGGGGGTAACATACGGTAGAACATCTTGCTCTGAGCGCTCAGGCCGTCACTCTTGGCCACCAGGTCGTCAATCTTCTCGCCGCGCTGTAGCACGCTCTCGATGGTCTTGTGGAGGACAATCTTTGTCTCGTCGAGCTCCTTCTGGATCTTCATGATGCTGTCGGCCTGCTGGGGGTCCTGGTACTTTTCGAGGTACTCCTTGAGCTCGGGCATGACGAGGGTGGGTGTGCCGCTGGCCCAGCCGGATCGGGGGTTCTTGGAGAGGAACTCGTCGACGACCTTGCTGAGGAGTTGATGCGCCACGAGGGCAGGGTACTGGTGGTCCGAGATGATGATGCCACAGACGCCCTCGGTGCGGCCGTAAGCGTGGAAGGTGTAGTCTGTAAGATCGCGCGTGAGCCTCTGAATGGTTCATGTGGCAGAAGCTGATGTACCTTGCTCCTCGACATCCTGTCGCTGGCCGGGACGGGTGCGCTCGGCGACGGTCTTTGCGAAAAGGGTCATGAACTCGCCATAGCTAGAGATTAGGTTAGTTGGGCATTATGCGTCAGGACCTGTAACCTGAGATCCCAGGGCTGAGACTGACTTGTTTCGTGTGAATCGTGAGTAGCTGCTGAGCTCCTTCTCAGCGACAATCTCGTGAGCGGGCTGGCTCTCGTTTCGGAGGATCTGGTCGCAACAAGCTGTGTTAGCCCAACTCGGTCGGTCGGTGAGGGGCACCGGGGGTGGGTGTGTTGTAGCGTACGCCGATGTAGTGCAGCTTCATGATGGCGGAATTGAGTCGATAATAGGCGTGCGATTGAGGCTATAGAGGACAGAGAGTGTGCGGTCGGGAGCGCAAGCGGGCGACGATAGGAGAAGGCGGGAAGGTTATATGTAAAAAGGAAGAATGAGGCCAGCCCGGCTAGATAGATGCGCCCATGCTCGCCCGTCGTTCACGGAGGTCGGTAGGACTTTAGGCCAGGCCAGGCCCCGGGTCAGGGCGTCACATGTTCCCCACGACGGGCTGACGGGGTCCATGGCTAGGCCGCTGCGATTGCCTGTGGCGCCCTGTGGCGGGGGCTTGCAACAGCGAGGTGGGGGTTATCAGAGCGGTATGACTCTACGAGGGTCACCGTCGTGAACCAATCCACGACAAGCAACTTCAGTCAAGGTCAGCGACATCAAAAAGGCCGCGACTGCTGCTTGTTCAGGCAGCAGGATATTGAATTCTTTCACACATTACGCAGAATACACGTCTTTTTCCGATCACGCGGGGATCTATTCAGAAACTATCTTTGTCATTCACAAAACCCAATCATGGCGTCTTCGGAACTCAGTGCCGCCGAGGCACAGTGGAGGGAACAGTTTGCAGCTATGCAAGAGGCCATCGCCAACCTCAAGATCCCCAAGGAAAACGGCCCAGTCGATGGAGATTTCGATGAAGATGAGTTTGGCGGTTACTCTTCTGGAAACAGTGGTCAGGATGTCTGGGACTTTATCTCGGATGATGACCAGGATGCTTTTAGCAGCGACTTTGCTGATGGAGAGGCCGCCATTGATGGCTCGGCTGTAGCTGATTACAGCGCTGAATGGTTCGCCATTAAGTGCTCTGGTATTGCGGCCAAGAATGGGCTCTCTGCCGATGTGTTTGAGAGTCAGATTATGAGTGTTCTCTCATCCAGTCGCTCCGATGATGAGCTACAAATCCAGCTTACCGACCTTGTCGGATTCGACGATCTCGACTTTATCATCGAGGTTCTAGGTCACAGAGACGAAATTGTTTCTGCTGTCAACAACCAAAACCAACAATCCTCAACTGCACCCCGACTTTTGAACAGGTCCCAGAGGGAGGATGCCCTCCGTCGTCAAGACCTGGCACACAAGACTGCCACTCTTGCGCCAGCCCATTCTAAAGAGCCTCACTACCCTCATGTCTACAAGTCGTACAGCGCCGGCAACACCCTCAGTTATGCCGGAAAGAAGTATGGTCTGCCAGTAGGCAGTGAGCGGAAGCAGTTTGACAAGTACGAGGAGTACTCTATCCCGGCTGGTCGAAAGGGCGTCCTTGGCCCAGGCCAGAGACTCATCCCTATCAAGGAGCTCAACGGGCTGTGTCGAAACACTTTCAAGGGTTACAAGACACTCAACCGCATGCAGAGTCTTGTCTATCCTGTTGCGCACAAGACCAGCGAGAACATGTTGATCTGTGCCCCTACCGGTGCTGTAAGTCTTTCGTCCGATGTTAGGAGTTTCAAAGCTGATTGTTCAGGGTAAAACTGATGCTGCCATGCTCACCATTCTCCAAACAATTGCTCAAAACGTTGAGCCCAACCCATTTGAGGATCCAGCGGCCACCGACTTTTTCGTCAACGCCGAAGACTTCAAAATCGTCTACGTTGCTCCCATGAAGGCTCTTGCTGCTGAAGTCACGGAGAAGCTAGGCAAGCGCCTGGCTTGGCTTGGCATCAAGTGTCGAGAGTACACTGGTGATATGCAACTGACAAAGGCTGAGATTATCCAGACTCAGATCATCGTCACGACTCCTGAGAAGTGGGATGTCGTTACACGAAAGGGAACTGGTGATACCGAGCTTGTCCAGAAAGTTCGCCTCCTCATCATTGATGAGGTTCATATGCTTCACGACGAGAGAGGTGCTGTTCTCGAATCGCTCGTGGCCCGAACGGAAAGACAGGTTGAAAGCACTCAATCGCTCATTCGGATTATCGGTCTCAGTGCCACACTGCCCAACTACGTCGATGTGGCCGATTTCCTCAAGGTCAACAAGTATGCTGGCCTATTTTACTTTGATTCGTCTTTCCGGCCTGTGCCCCTCGAGCAGCATTTCATTGGTGTGAAGGGCAAGGCAGGATCCAAGCAATCCAAAGAAAACCTTGACCAAGTCGCCTTTGACAAGGTTAAGGAGATGCTCGAGCGTGATCACCAAGTCATGGTGTTTGTTCACTCACGACGAGATACCATGCTCACGGCTCGCATGCTGAACCAAAAGGCTATGGAGGCGATGTGTGCTGACCTTTTCGATCCTTCTTATCACCCTGGTTACGACCAAGCTGCTCGAGACATCAAGCAGTCCAAGTCCAAGGAGATCCGCGAGTTGTTGTCAATGGGCATTGGTGTTCACCACGCTGGAATGGCAAGATCTGACAGAAATCTGATGGAGAGACTGTTCGGAGAGGGTGTCTTGAAGGTTCTCTGCTGTACCGCCACCCTCGCTTGGGGTGTCAACTTGCCTGCTGCCGCAGTCGTCATCAAGGGAACCCAGGTTTACAGTGCTCAAGATGGTAAATTCGTCGACCTCGGAATTCTCGACGTGTTGCAGATCTTTGGTCGTGCTGGTCGTCCTCAGTTCGAAGACACGGGTATCGGCATGATCTGCACCACTCACGATAAGCTCACACACTACTTGACTGCCGTGACGGAGCAACAGCCTATCGAATCCAAGTTCTCTACCAAGCTGGTGGACAACTTGAATGCCGAGATTGCGCTGGGAACTGTAACTTCCATCCCTGATGCAGTCCAGTGGATCGGATACTCATATCTGTTTGTTCGCATGCAGAGGAGCCCAATGACCTATGGTATCGAGTGGTCGGAGATTCGAGATGACCCTAATCTGGTCCAAAGACGACGTCAACTTGCTATCCAGGCCGCCAAGACGCTGCAGCAGTGTCAGATGATCATATACAACGAAAGAACGGACGAACTGCGCAGTAAGGACATTGGTCGAATTGCAAGCCAGTATTATATCCTTCACACCAGTATTCAGGTGTTCAACGCCATGATGCAGCCCCAAGCTACAGAGGCAGACATCCTGAAGATGATCAGTATGAGTGGAGAGTTTGATAACATCCAGTCGAGGGACAGCGAAGAGAAGGAGCTGACTCACTTGAAACGGGAAATCATCCCTTGCGATGTGGATGGAGGTATCGACACTCCTCAGGCGAAGACTAACATTCTTCTCCAATCTTACATCTCTCGAAGTCAGCCCGAGGATTTCGCCCTTTCAAACGACATGAACTATGTTGCTCAGCAATCAGGACGAATCTGCCGAGCTCTGTTCATGCTCGCCCTCAACCGTCGATGGGGTCACCAATGCTTGGTCCTGCTCACCCTGGCAAAGTCGATCGAGAAGCGTATCTGGCCGTTCCAGCACCCTCTTCATCAATTTGACCTGGCAAAGTCTGTTCTTAACCAGCTTGACGCTAAGGAGAGCCTGACGATTGAAGCCATGAAGGACATGGAGCCGGCTGAGATTGGCGGCTTGATTCACAACCAAGGCGCCGGCAAGAATATTGCCAGGATTCTCAACAACTTCCCCACGGTTCACGTCGAGGCTGAGATTGCGCCCCTAAACCGGGACGTCCTACGCATCAAGCTCTACGTGATTCCTGACTTCAAGTGGCACGATCAGATCCATGGCACCTCCGAGTCCTTCTACGTTTGGGTCGAGAACTCGGAGACGTCAGAGATCTATCACCACGAGTTTTTCATTCTTAACAGGAGAAAGCTCCATGATGACCACGAGCTGAACTTTACTATTCCTCTCTCAGACCCTCTACCGAAGCAGATCTACGTCCGAGCCGTGTCTGACAGATGGCTTGGTGCGGAAACGGTCACACCAGTCTCCTTTCAACATCTCATCCGACCAGACACTGAGAGTGTCTATACGGATCTGTTGAATCTGCAGCCTCTACCAATCTCGGCTCTCAAGAACCCAGCCCTGGAGGAAATCTATGCCAAGAGGTTCCAGTTCTTCAACCCCATGCAAACTCAGATCTTCCACACGCTTTACCATACTCCGGCCAACGTGCTCCTCGGATCACCCACCGGCAGTGGAAAGACTGTGGCTGCTGAGCTGGCCATGTGGTGGGCGTTCCGGGAGAGGCCCAAGTCCAAGGTTGTCTATATTGCCCCGATGAAGGCACTTGTCCGCGAGCGTGTTAAGGACTGGGGAGCTCGTCTGGCGCGGCCTTTGGGGTTGAAGCTGGTCGAGTTGACTGGTGACAACACACCCGATACCCGAACGATTCAGGATGCCGATGTCATTATTACGACTCCTGAGAAGTGGGACGGTATCTCGCGTTCGTGGCAGACAAGAGGATACGTGCGACAGGTCAGCCTGGTCATCATTGATGAGATTCATCTATTGGCAGGTGACCGAGGTCCTATTCTTGAGATCATCGTCTCACGAATGAACTACATCGCTTCCTCAACCAAGAACGCCGTTCGTTTACTGGGCATGTCGACTGCCTGCGCCAACGCAACGGATCTTGGCAACTGGCTTGGTGTCAAGGAGGGTCTCTTTAACTTTAAGCACTCGGTTCGTCCAGTTCCCCTGGAGCTGTACATCGATGGGTTCCCAGAAGTCAGGGGCTTCTGTCCACTGATGCAGTCCATGAACCGCCCAACCTTCTTAGCCGTCAAGAACCACAGCCCTGACAAGCCTGTGATCGTCTTTGTGCCCTCGCGACGACAAACTCGTCTTACTGCCAAGGATCTCATCAACTTTTGTGGAATGGAGGATAACCCTCGTCGATTCCTTCACATGGACGAAGACGACCTACAACTAAATCTCTCTCGAGTCAAGGACGATGCGCTCAAGGAGGCCATTAACTTTGGCATCGGGCTGCATCACGCCGGTCTCGTCGAGTCAGATCGTCAACTGGCTGAGGAACTGTTCCTCAACAACAAGATCCAGATCCTCGTCGCCACCAGTACACTCGCCTGGGGTGTCAACTTGCCCGCCCATCTCGTCGTCGTCAAGGGCAC